TGGGTCTAAAAAAAAAACAAGGTAACCCCATTGAACTTTTTTCAAATATTTCGAGTCGTCAGAATGAGCTGAAAACTTGAATACAGGACGTTCTCGATGTGCTGAACTAGAATCTGAAGTAAGTTTGTTCTTATCTCACTTGGCTTCCGAGATATTGGTTGAATATGGAAAAAATGATTCAAAGTATGACTACAAATAATGGTTGCAGAGAATTTCTTTTCGTGGCCAAACTACGTGAATTAATTTAGTTCCGCCGCCAAAAATTCAATAGTTCTCATGACCTCCATATCTCTATAGTCAATTGAGGAACTAGATCGAACCGTTTTATATTAAAGTTATCGGAACTTTTTTATTTCGTATAATAGAGAGCAGTGTGCTTGTTCTCCACTCAGAGCATAAAAGCTCACCATTTATTTGACGTATCGCCAAATGATGGCCATGACGGTACGTTTGAAATGAGCTCCAAAATTCAACAATTTCGAACAACGCATAGGTACACTCATTATTTTTTTATGTTCTGGTTCCCACGAAAAGGGATATCCTGTAATGTTCAGAGAACATCGTGAGAACCAAGGGAAATAAGGTAGGAATTGGTGTTCTTTTAAAATTTCTGAAGGTTATATGACTCGGGGAACAACCTCCCTTGGCAATGTGTTCCAGAGCCTCGCTGTTCGTTGGATGAACGAGTCTTTGGAAAGAGATGTTCTGCAGGTCTCCAAAGTGACCATGAAGGGGTGCGAAGCCTCAACTCGACGGATTAATCTCGCGGGGACTGCCACGGGAGGAACAATTGTTGATATTTCAAAGGAGAATCGTCCATGAAAATATCTATAAAATAGAGCCAGATCGCCAACTTTTCTACGGTGTTCCAGAGAAGCAAGTGAGTTTCTGAGCAAGGCATCATCCACGAGACGAATTGCCCTTTTTTGGACAGAATCCAACAGTTTCAGGGTATGTTATTTGGGTGCTGCACTCCAAATATGTGAACAGTATTCCAGGACAGGTCGGATCTGTGCCTCATAGATCATAAGCAGCTGAATGGAAGTGAAATAACTCCTGGCCCGAAACAGAAAACCAAGTTTTTGGGATGCACTTTTAGCAGTTGATCTAACGTGATCTTACCAAGAAATGTTATTGCTGACAGTGATACCAAGCATAAAAATGGATGTCTTCAAAGGTATGGTTACTCCTGACAGTCCTGACAAGCTTATGTTTAAAAAAGTGTGAGAATTGTTAATGTAGGTCCGTAACGACACATTGAAGTAATTGAATTTCCTTAAATTTATTATAAAGTCCACTAGCCCATTCTCTATAATTATACTTTCAAGTAGTTACGATTACAGAATAGGATTTGAATTTATTTTAAATGAAACGAACGACAGCCTTGAACAAGCTTTATTACTGCAAAAACACAGAGTGGGTTAATTGGGCGCCAACCCAAATGTGTGTTCACACCAGTAAAGTTTAGGTTAATTCTCGACAAAATGCAACATTAATTCATATAGAGAAAAACATACTAAAATATTTGATAAAACCCTATGCAAGCTTTTACAATTATAAATCTATGGTACATGCAGATAGTCTATTTTACATTAAGTTTACAAATATTTCAGGCCAAATCACAATTATTATTAGTTTCTAGTTTTTTTTTATTTCGAACAACATCGACAACTGATTTGTACGAACATGAAAACAGTTAATTGGAAAAATTGGGACTGGATATCGATTCAAAATTTCATATTTGAACTATTAAATAAGTTTGATCGTGAAAAAAAGAATTATAGCATTCAATTGATTTTGAATACCAGTATAATCTTCATTCAAATTTCGAAATAGGTACGGATTTGAAAGATTTGCTAATAAAAACTTATTATAATATTCAATTCGATTTGTTTTGAAATTAATCAAACAAAGCAAATTTTCCAATTGAATATATGGTAACACTGCACTTATCATGCGATGTTTTTTTTTTCGATTTTTTTTTTGTACTTACGTATTTTTGTATGATAAACACGAATTTCACAATGAAAATGTGAAAAAATCCGCTATCTATTGAGATATTTTACGAAAAAATGCGAAATTTCACCAACTATTTGTCCTAAATATGAAAAAATTCCAAATAAACCATACTTCTTGTTGATTTCAGGAATTAATAGTAGATTGTTTTATTAGGATCAAAAGTGACACTTTGTTTGACAAGCGAATTTTGCATTTGCGAGGCGGAGCGTTTAGCGAAGCCGAGCGAAAGCAAAATTTGCGAGTCGAACAAAGTCACTTTCGAACCGAATGAAACATGCCATTTTTTCTGCAACCGAAACAATTAACTCAAATAAACATATGAAGTAACCACCAATGCCGTGCCATATGTATGCAATGCAACAAATATTGACAAATAATCAGTGTGGTGAGAATATTCTACCTGCATTAACAGCAGGTTTATTCAATTTTCAAGGATGTTCGAATTGTAGTTTCGATATGACATATTTGTGTATGGACCAGGTGCTCTAATGGCAAAAACCGCGCCAGTGCCAGGTATAGGAACAAGACGAGGAAAATGTTAGGTTAGTGAGCATATCAACAGTGATAATAGTGATTATTTATTCCTCTCCATACTGGCATACTACACTGTGTTTGACTTGATAATCAAATGAAGCTAAACACTATCGTTGTTTGAGACAAAAAAACTATTGCTTGCCGTGATTATTCAAAAACAAGTTATCCATCCCGAGAATAACGAATGAAATCGAGAATGAAATACAGATCAAGCAAGTATTTGAATCATTAAGGCTTCCCTGATCAAAACAAAAATACTTAACTGAGATGTTTATAATTCCAATACTAAACTATAATAAGGTGTATTTATATCTCCAGCATGGGTATGAAATGCCGAATCTGCTGAAATCGGAAACAAATCAGGTATGCGTCTCAACCCAAATAACCAACCATCACAAAGTTGTTTATTCTTGATGACGTCCAGTAGATCCGTTTCAGTTCCTAGGAGATAGAAGTTCAACTTTAGCTCCTAGGAACTAAAATTCAACTTTAGCTCCTAGGAATTAAATATGTTGCCTAGCAACATTCCTATTTTTGTGTCAGTAATAGAAACGTCAATTTAAGATCTAATTTTGGTATCAAAATGGACAACTTTTGTGTCGGTTGCAGAAAAAATGTGTTATTGAAGTAAAATGTGAGTATATAAAGTGTCCAGTGATGGAGAAAGAAGGAAAAGTAGTTGTAAATGAATATCCTAGATGGGTTATAAAAGAAGGTGATATTTCGCATTTTTTCATAAAATATCTCGATAAATAGCAGCTTGTTCTTATTTTCATTGTGAAATTCGTGTTTTCCAGACAAAAATACGTAAGTACCAAACTAAATTTCGAAAATGAACCCATCGCATGAAAAGTGCAGTTTTACCGAATATTTTTTTTTCTTCCAATCCCAATTTTTCAAATAGTTAACATTCATTATTTTGGTCCAACTAACATGTTTATTTGTGGCAGGTTATGATGCAGTCAGTATATGTGCAGTCGCAGTCAAAAATTTAGAACATATTGTTCTGAATCAACCGAAAACTCGAAAGAAATAGCCGATCGGAAGTTCAGAAAATATGGACGCATTTTCACAGAAAAATCACACGAAATTATTTACCCTGCTAATGTTATTACAAATAGTTAAATTTAATTGAGTTCAACCATAGATGAGGATTTAAAAGAAAACACAAAAATAAATTAATTATTCCTTATGAATTTTGATTATTTTTCGATAGCCCTTCCATATCAAGTAATTCGGTATTATTACTACTTGTATTTGTATTCTGTTTTTATTTTTAATATTACACAAATCAATGTCGAAAATTCGATATGACTACTAAATATTTCCTTATGGTCCCAAAAAAGTATGAATAATCGCATGAACTACTGAGGAAATTTTGTATTCATTTTTGGAGCTATATACAGTGTGACCCACTCAAGACCGGAGCACCCCCATAAAATCTATAGTTTTTGACCGATTTCTTTTTTTTTTCGTTTCAGCAGAAGGACTAACCGGAGATCTACGTTTACACAAATTTGCAAAATAAAATTTCAATCCACAGGGCATACTATATTATTTTTTTCATGTGCGAAATATCATTAGCGATTTTTTCCAAACAAAATCGACCCCACCACTGAATTCAGCATCCTTCAATCAGGATGAGCGCAAAATTTCATTGAAAAATTTCAATTGGCAACAAAGTAATAACAACATTAATTTTGATTGCTCACTATTTTCTATGAATATTTCAGACAAATTCTGAGAAGCGGCAACATTGTCAACACAAATGTTGGAAATCATTGAGGTTTCTGGTATACATTTGAAGTGATAACACAAATTATTATCGAGTCATAATCTCTAGAATGGTACCCTTGTGGAATGAAGTAATGAAGTCGGAAAAACAGCTTTTCATAATAAGTTAATTATCAATGTAAACCAACAATTTCTGAAAGCTCTTGATGTTTTTAGCTTCTGATATTTTCTAACTATAATTACTTGGATAAACAAGGCCGATTTTTGGACGTTATGGATATTTCATTTTATGAATCTTCCCATGAATACCAAGATAAATTCCATTTCAGATGTTATAACTCGATAATAATTTGTGTCATCAATTCAAATGTATACCAGAAACCTTGATGATTTCCAACATTTGTGTTGACAATGTTGCCGCTTCTCAGAATTTGTCTGAAATATTCACAAAAAATGGTGTTATGGATTTTTCATTTTATGAATCTTTCCATGAATACCAAGATAAATTCCATTTCAGATGTTATAACTCGATAATAATTTGTGTTATCGATTCAAATGTATACCAGAAACCTTGATGATTTCCAAAAAAAAATGATGAGCAATCAAAATTAATGTTGTTATATAACTTTGTTGCCACTTGATATTTTTCGATGAAATTTTGCGCTCAACCTAATTGAAGGATGCTGAATTCAGTGGTGGGGTCGATTTTTTTTTTAAATCGCTAATGAAATTTCGCAATTTTTAACATGAAAAAAATAGCATAGTATGCCCTGTAGATTGAAATTTAATTTTGCAAATTTGTGTAATCGTAGATCTCAGGATAGTCCTGCTGAAACAAAAAAAATTGGTTAAACACTATAGATTTTATAAGGGTGCTCCGGTCTTAAGTGGGTCACACTGTAGTTATAATAAATTCAAAGAAAGTTACATAACGAGGATCAAACCGCAGTTCCTTGTAAATGACGTTTTTTATGAAAATCACGTTTTTTATTCAAAGTGCTGCAGAACATCTATCTCCATCTATTGTGAGTTATGCTGCAGGTTTTTGCATAGTTTCTGCAGAAATATCGAAAAACATTACCTCATATGTTTTTTAACTTGATTCTGAAGCAGTAATTCCTAACTAGCTATTAGTGAATGGCACCATAATGCGTAGTTTGCTGTCCCCGTTCTAAAGGTAGGAAGATCTCCTAATGCTTCATTCTCAATTGGAGTAGTGGCCAGCGTAGCCCCGTGGTTGAAGCGTCAGTGTTCTATCCACGTTGGATTGCCGCTAGGTGGGTTCGATTCCCACCACGACGATTTTTTTTAGTAATTATTATGATATGTTCGTAATAATGTTTCTATATGGAGATTATTCCTGAATTATCTTCGAAATGACTGAACGAATGAAAAATATTATTTAAGCAGCACAACTCTTGTTACGAGAAAACACCACCTCGTAAAAACAATTGAAAAATAGACGGTACCTAGTAAACAATCCATTTTTCGTGTAAATTTTGATTATGCTTTCAATGTCCACATATCTGTGGAGAGTATTTTCAAGAAATAATTCTAAAAGTAGAATGATAAAATTTTGTCTCAATTAATGTGATACGTTTTTTGTCGCTCCTGTGAAATTTGCATTTTTTCAATTACGAGGTACAATACAGTTTGGCCCTCGATAATATATTTGAATACTTCTTATCCATCTTATTTTTTGAAATATTTAGTAGCCCCCATCCCTATCATATTATTATGATACTTATAATGATTTGATGTCTATGAAGATTGTCTATTAATTCACTTGGGAGAAATCGAGATTCAGTATGAAGTGCAAACAGAATATGTAAAAGATTTCCTACAGGGAGGCCCGACGAAAACGAAGCAGACTGATCATCTTCCGCGAGTTTTTGTTTGAAATAAAGCTGAAATAGGTCGAATTTGAATAGGGACGGTAATTTGATGAAGATCTATATATTAATGAATGTAAAGTTCCTCTAAATTTTTATTAGAAGAAACAAATTTTAGGTAGACCACTGTTTCCACACTTTTTTCAAAAGTTGTTATCCACCAATGACAATATCTAAAATTGACTTGAAGAATTTATTATTATGTATTATGTAACTCTATTTAGTTCAAATGTATGACCAATTGAATTAGCTTCCATATGAAGTGCGCTTAAATTAAGAAAAAACTTACATATTATGGCGATTGGATATGATAAAAATGTGTTCCCAAAGCATTCTAAATTGACTGATTTTAGAGTTTTCTCAAACAAACATTCTCCTGGCAGTTATTCAGTCTGCTTCAATATTGTTGGGCCACTCTATTTTCAGTGGCGGCTCCTCAGAGGAGGCAACGGAGGCTGAGCCTCCTCAGAGATTTTCCTTAAACTAATATTATCTATACTTTCTCATTAAAAGGACACTAAAATACATGGATTTTGATTTTATTTCCTGTTTTTAGTTAAATATTTTTGAATTGGCAACAGTGCTTGCCCACGCATCACACGTTGAAGTCTGCAAATCACGCGTAAAATATTCAACTTGGCAACATCTATAGGAGGCTAGACTCCTTCACACCGCGCAACCCACGCGCGCAATGCAAATGCCCGAATACGCCCGAATAGCACGTGTTTGTCGTGTCGCTTCGCGAATTGCGGACAAACGCGAGTGCATTGTTTATGTTTATGTTAGGTTAATGGTTAGGGGCTCTATAAATTTCTGAAAAATGAGTGTTTTAAACGATTGCGATTTATAGTGGAATACTTTTTGGTGAACCCATTCAGTGCTTTGTCTAATGAAGATAAATTGATCGTGAAAAACAAACGTACGACACCGGAATTAGAAAATCTGATTGTAACAGGTAACAAACAAAATCGTTCCTTCAATTCTGATAATTATAAAAAATATATCTGGTTGACGGGATCTGAGGTAATGAATAAGCTATTTTGTTGGTACTGCGTATTATTTTCAACCGATAAGTCATCATGTTGGGGGCGATTAGGATATAATGATTTGAAAAATTTGCCTCGCGGATTAAATTGGATTGGATAGACACTGCAAATCACAGGAACACATATCTTCAAGTATCAAGTTCCGGTTAACTGGTTAACAGAATGTCATTGAAGCTATTGATTTGGGTGAGTAGAGAGTTGTTTTTCACAATAAATCTCATATCATTCAGCCTCCTCTGTCATGAAAGTCACGAGCCGCCACTGTCTATTTTATTGTTATAATTTTTCATTGAAAACAGCTATATGACTGACATACAACAATTTGCTTATGTGTAAATACAGCAGTGTTATTTTATTGAAGAGAATATTTTGTTTTCATCAATTATTATTTGTACTTAACGAAACTATTGAAATCATCACCCACTCTGGAATAATAAAATTAATGAATTTTTCTGCAATTATCACTAGGTATATCAATTTATTTACAGAATTTTAACCGACATTTCAAACGTGCTGTTGATAAATTTTCAATCCGAATTTTAGAATAAAAACATCTATAATGTAGTTCCCTTCAACTACTAAGGCCTCTATGAAAAATTACTCAAACTATCAAAAACAATTATAAACAAAAACCAATTAATACACAATAATCAAACTATATACAATGGAAAATCAATAAATATTGTATTTACAAACATTTTAACAAACCCTTTGTACTATACTTTTGTATTTTGTCAATGCAAAAAAATCCATTAAAGTTACTATTACTGAAACAAACACAAAAAAATGAAAATTCCGACAATCCATGGTTATTTTTCAGTTAAGATACAATAACTACTGAATAGCCTATCACCATTTATGAAGGTGTGTCAAAACACCACTAATTAGCTAAAAATATTGACATGATTCTACACCAGTCTTGTGTAACACTAATAATATTATAGTTAAATCTACGAAATATATCTGCAACATTATTTTACCACTTCCTATGTTTCAAGATTATTATTTTTTTCAGTTTTCTTGCTAGAAAATACCTTGAAGGTTTTCTATTCACCCTTTACCTAATTTGAAAAATTGTTATCCGTTTTCACAGATGGAAGTGGTACTAAAATGTCACAGACACACATATTACATAGTGCAGCCTTTAGATCATATAGGTAAAACCTTAAATATTTTGTTACATTTCATATTGGAAGTGATTAATGATTCTCAAATTATCCTGATATTTATATCCATATTGAGAAATAAAAACTATCGCATAAAATGTAACTACAACCAGTATAAGCGCATTCTATTATGGTAACTAATATAAATATAATAACCAACCCAAATAATATATACAAAACAACTAACGCAACGTGCAGGAATCAAAAAAATATATGTGGTATCCCACTCCACTCATATTTTTTGATATCAATGAAGAACCTCTCGAAAAAAACCTCATTCCTCCATTATGAGTACAATTCTTAAAAAATAAAACCTCGAATCATCAAAAACAATTCAATAATATCAAAAATATGAGTACAAAAAGTGGGACATACTGTATACGGTATTCCAACATGAGAAGTTAAACATGACATACATAAAAAACGCAAAAACTGACAATTGACGCCTTCTAATAATGTAGGTCGAGTTTAACCTCAAATTTGGATTTTAGTTCTGGCCAATCCACATATTATCGAGACAATTTGATGAAAAAGAGATCTACGGTATATTATAATATGAGGTAAACGTCGAATATTGTGCTGAATGAATACGTTTGATATTAAGCCTCGAAACAGTTGAAAATACTTGTAGAACGGTAAGAAACCCAAAAACTGGAAAAATCGGACTTTAAGCAATAACTACTTTGATTTTTTTCAAGAATAAATCATAATATTCCATCGCAAACCAAAGAATATAAAACCATAATAATATCCCCCTAACCAATTATTTCATGATACGAGAACCATAATCTTTGAGCAAACCAAAACTATTCAACAGAAAATTACAGATTCCTTCAGTTTTCTTGGGAAATAATGGCTTCCTAAAATTACCAGTAGGCATTAGAGTACATGAGGCATCCGCCCACCACTTTTCTACTCACGTGATTTCGACAGCCAATCACCTTCACCAAGTGCGACGTCTCAATCGATTTTCTATTCGTGGATATTTTTCCCGCTTAGGTAGCAGTGGGCGGGGCATTATGAATGACGTTGAGCCATTGGTCAGCGGAGAAAATAAAGGGGGGGGGTGCCTCACATACCGTATTACCTACTACCCATTGATTTCGTGATTTAGAACGTTTTTTGACACGAACAGTGAATAACACGTTATATTTTTATGTGAAGCATTTTCCACGTATCTAATGACGTTAGATGAAGAACAATAACAAAGCGAAAGTAAGCACCGTTATTTACATCAGAATGTAATACTGCGATTGCGAGACAGTGAGGCCATTAACGTGAAACCATCAAAAAGCTATCGGATGAATGAGCAAAAAGCTAAATAATTATCGATAAGGATGGAAAATATCGGCAACTACACTAATTCGCTGTTAATTTTCTTTAAAGTTAAATATCTATATGGAACCCTGTGCATTAATTCAACTAAGAGCGAATGGTTCAAACGCTTAAATCATTCCAAAAGACTCTCTACTTATATTTGTCTCTCAATAAGGCGGTTATATTTTAGATCTACTCAAAGCAAAAGTTCAGAGTCTTTATCCAAATTGAAAAAAAAAACATTCTTTCCTATTATCTATCCTTAGAATTCGCTCCTTTCTAAGTGTGGCACATCACGTTCTTTCATTTGAATAAAAGACGACAATCTGATGAAATTATATACAAAGAAATGTTTGATGATCACAGAAAGAAGATCTCTAGGACATTATTTAAAAAATATATGTACAAATTTGTTGATTGAAGTAAAACAATGTGCAAAGAGGAACTAAACTGTTGAAGAATCTGTACATCAACATGCACATCGAAACATTTGGACATCATCTTTATCAAAGAGAGAAACCCTACAGTTAGCGAAAGAACACCCGATTAATATTTTGTATTATTCAAAACTAATCTAAGACAATCCAAAAATATTATTTGTTACATCTACCATAGGTGTTATTTACCTTTTCTATCTAATTGAAACACTTTCTCGGGAACTTTGTTAATTATTTACACCAATTTCAAAATCTGTGTTCCACTTCTATGTACCGGGTGTCCCAAATTCGAGGGGCATCATTGGGATCTCGGTAACCATAACAGATACAAAGTCGGTTGAATTAAGGCAAAGTTGCGTGATTTGATGCTGATCAAAATAACGCTCAAAAAGTATAGAAATTCCGAATAGTTCTGAAGATATACGAAATAACCGAATATCCGCGATATCACATTTACTCTTTTCTGACCTTATTTGAATTGATATGACAAAATAAGTTGTATATCATCATTGCCACCATTTCCCCTCTATCCAATGATATTTTTTTATCTCTATTCATAAATTTGTGATCCGCGGTATCATCTTCGAGGAGCCATCATCAACTTTGTTGTTTTGAATGGTCGAAAATGTTTTTTCGACCTAAGAAACTATAATTTCAATCCTGAATCCAACGACATACTGCTATTTACAATTATCCAACGTTTTGAAACTAAAAATCATCATCAGTGTTATTTGATGATGGTTACGAGAAAACGAAACGTCAGGAGAAGAATTTGATGACAGCAACTTGTGGGGAAGAAAAAGTGGCTAGAAAAATGTCAAATTCATTTTGGTGTATATCTTAATAAAGTTATTTTCCGAGTTTCTAATTCTAAAACATGATTTTTTTCTGATTTTACTAAAAGAGATATACGAAAATGAATTAGACATTTTTGCAACAACTTTTCCTTCTCTACAAGATGGCGGTTGATGATGGTGATTCTTTGGTCTGAAACGTCGGATAATTGTGAACTGTAACATGTCATCTAATTCAGAATTGGAATTAAAATATTTTTTTTTTGCTTAAAGAAAACGAAGTTGATGATGTCTCCTCGAAGACGAAACGTCGGATCACAAATCTATTATTACCATTGAATAGAGCGGAAAGAGTGGCAACGATGCTATGGAACTTATTTTGTCACATCACTTCAAATAGTCAGAATAAAAAAATAAAAACGAAATCGCGAGTATTAGGTTTCTTCCAAATATCTCCGGAAGTATTCGGAATTTCTATACTTTTCAAGGGATATGCTGATCAGCAGCAAATCACGCAACTTTGCCTTGATTTAACCGATTTTGTATATGTTATGTTTACAGAGATCCCAATGATATCCCTCGAATTTGGGACACCCGGTTGAGGGTGAAAAGCAAACTTCAATTCCGCCTCAATAAGAATATACAGTAATGTAGATGTCCGAGTAATACAGGTCGTTTTTTTCAATTAGTCCACAAATCAGAAGAATATAGTACTGCTCAAATTGATAAAATTAAATATCCAGGGTTTGTTAATCTCTATCTATACCATACAGAGAAATTCTATGATGGCATCTCTGTATTTTTATGCAATTCAATATCTCTATTTTTTTGATAATTGGTGTAAAATCCCTGACAAAAATCCCATATATTTAGGCGTTATTCAGTATATACAATAAAAATGATTATTTCTTCATTAAATATCACAACTAGTATATTCCACAACTCTATTGACGCGAAAATCCCTGTTGAATAACACATTTAAGACAATTAGTGCAGAGTCGGTAATCCATTTGACGTCGAACATAGAGTGTACGAATGATTATAACATTTACAGGCACATCAAATATTCCGAAAAAACTATCAACTTTTTTTCATTATTTTGCTATGAAACGTTTCACTATAATTTCCGAATATATAAACCCTAATCCCCAAAAATAGCGCTCATCATAATATACAACAAAATGAAAGATTTGATCTCGCAACACATCAAAAAGTGTCTTCTAAAAAGAATCCCAGATTATAACCTTCCATATTTTTCTAATTTCGAAAGACGTAAACATCATAGGCAATTGGTCTTTGGAAAAATATAAATTTTCAATTTTTTTTTGAAATTACATGAAATAGTTAACTAGTATTGAAATTAGTGAAGTTCTGCGCGAGATATACAGGGTAAAATCCACACAGAAGCGAATATCACGTACTTACTGTGAGAGTTATACAGGGTGGAATTCACACATCTTTAAAGACTGTACTGTGCATGTTATACAAGGTGGAATCCACACACGTGTGAATACCATGATTGTACTGTGCGAGTTATACAGGGTGAAATTCCCAAGTTTCAGATTAATTTCGTTAAACAGCAGTCTTCATGGTCCTGTATTCTGAAATGTCACTAAACAACAATGCAATGGTCGATAAACCAAAACTTTCGACTTTGATTCGGAAAAATCATAGAGAAATAACATCTCAGAGAAAAGTCATAGGCAATTGTTCTTTGGAAAAATATGAATTTTCAATTTTTTCTTGAAATTACATGAAATAGTTAACTAGTATTGAAATTAGTGAAGTTCTGCGCGAGATATACAGGGTAAAACCCACACAGAAGCGAATATCACGTACTTACTGTGAGAGTTATACAGGGTGGAATTCACACATATTTAAAGACTGTACTGTGCATGTTATACAAGGTGGAATCCACACACGTGTGAATACCATGATTGTACTGTGCGAGTTATACAGGGTGAAATTCCCAAGTTTCAGATTAATTTCGTTAAACAGCAGTCTTCATGGTCCTGTATTCTGAAATGTCACTAAACAACAATGCAATGGTCGATAAACCAAAACTTTCGACTTTGATTCGGAAAAATCATAGAGAAATTTTAATAGAGCATCCAAATTGTATGCTGCAAGGCAAATTCAATATTTTGTTGTATAAATATGACGAAACTGTTATACAACTTAGCAAATATCTATTAGTTCAATATAAATATTCTTGCAGAATAAAATAAAATACGTACAGGAAATATAATAATTCCACTGTGAAGAATACAGTTTCCGAGCATATAGTATAGAAACATGATACCACAAAGGAAGAAGATTGGGACCATATTTGAGCTAGAACTCTTCAAAGGAAAAGTTTTAATCCTAACTATATTATCTTTCTTCCCTCATAATTTGGGTGGCTGTCTACAGAAAATTCGAAACTAATTGTTTTAATTGCAATAAGCCACTCAAATGACAACCACAATAAAAATAATCATAAACGTTGAAGCTCTAAAACAAGCCTACTATATAAGTATATTTGAAATACTCAAGAACCCAGTGGTTCTTAAATCAATAAAAAATGAATTCTATTAACAAAAATGCAATTTGCAAACTTCTAGATAATCTGAATTTTAAATTAAATTATCACTATTATTATCTGACTAAAATGCTAGACTGTACTTTTGATATGAAGGCAGTATCATTATAAATATGTAACATTTTTCAGTGTAATAAATAATTGATTGTGAAAAATAGTAAAGAAACAATTGCTACTTGTGTACCTAGTGTGAATAGCAAGACTAGTTTATATGTACAAATAAGACACTCAATTAATACGAAAATAAGAGGAAATTAAAACAAAAATCGTGACGTACCCAAATTCTCACACGAACAATGAAAACAATGTTAAAGGAAAATTACTCAATTAAAAAAAAAGAAGGAAAACAAGAAGTACGTGACACAAATACATCAAGATAAAATTATCATATCTTAGTGGAAACAAACTATTGCCTACTAATCTAATTGCACAAATATTACCGCGTATTTATAATATTGCATAAAATAACTTGTTATATTCTTAAATTTAAAAACCAGACACAAAAACACGAAAACTAAAATGATAAAATGAATTACGTCACAATCAAAATATTACAACTCGAATTTTTATGACAAAATTACTTATCAGATGCAAGTTCAGGAACCCCTGAAGTAACAAGACATACATTCTCAACTCATGAATACTCAAGAATTTTCTTCTCACAAGATAACCAAGATCCAATCAAACATCTAGTACATTCGGAAAATTCCATACATCATTATCATTATTTGTGATAGTTCAAAATGTTCATCATCACCCTGTACCAGATGAGTCGAAGTACTCATCAGCCGATTACTTTTTCATTTTTGTTTGGAGGAAAAAAAATAGAGTAGGTACCTAGGAACCAGCAGAGTGTATGCATTTTTCACCAGTAGGAAAACCTGGTTCTGAAGAGCTTTCCAAAAATAGGAAACGCAATAAATTTTCATCTTCCATATTCCACAAAATATGGGCATTCAAAACTAATATTTTGTGGAATACCCAAGATAAATAATATCAGTGCGGCATTTTTGGAGACTTCTTCAAACAGTCTTTCTGAAGATGAGGCTGTGATAATTTATAATTCGGAATCAACGAGGAACTGAAAGCAAATCCATAAAAAAAATTCAAAGACGTAACTGGAAACCATTCCTTTCCGGTTGAATAGACAATTCCTCCAATATCAAACAATGAAAAAAATGATGTTTCCAACTTGGATCTTGGATCAGATCGAAAAATCGAGTAAAATTCGAGCTGCAATATCTCAACTGCCCCATACCGTATGCAATATTATATCGAAACTAACATACAATTCTATCACCCTCGAACATCAAAAAGACCAACGACATAACCTAATTTCTAGAGCTCATGTACCCACAACCCGAAAACCTTCCCAAATGAATTCAAGACGTTCACCCAATGGGATTCAATTTCATACATACAGAGTGACCCATTTGAAAGTGGGCCACCCTCATAATTTTTTATTTACGGAGGGAAGATGTATTTTGGAGCTAAGCGGTATCCACTTTTTTTAAACCAAGGCCTACTAGATCACTTTCAGAGACCGAAAAATCCAGAATCCATATTAGCAATTTTTTTAGAAAAAATCTGCACCATACACCCCTGGAATAGGCGTCCTCTGAAATAGATCTGTACCAAGTTTCATGAAGAAATGCTCAACATTAACGACTCTACAGCGTTTCTTATTTCAAACAGTCCCCTTCTATATCTCAGCTATTAGTTGTGCGATTCGTACAAAATTCGGACCATTGTGAATAACCATCAATATTATCAGTGCCGTGCGTTTTTATTGAAATAAAAAGGGGTCATTTTTTTATGATATCACATCAGGCAGTTTTTACAGGAAAACTAACCTCATAATACTGTTTTCATGGTTCAAACCCCTATATGTGTATTTTTATATGATTCCTGTGGAGGGTTTCGAAAAAACAAGCACATCTGAAGAGCATTTTTGCGAACGTACCTACCTGAGCTATTGAACGTTCCAAAATTTGCAGTTAGTTTGAATTCACTATTTTCCCGAGACTGAAAATGACAAAAATTTTAGCCAATCCTGTTAATTTGGGATGAGGTGATTTTTGGCATTCTTTTCATAAAAATCGAACCCTTTTAATTTCAATGAAAAGCACGGCACTGTCCAAACTGATCAGATTGATGGTTATTCGTACTGGTCCAAATTTGGTACGAATCGCACGACTAATAGCTGATATAGAGGGGATGCCGTTTGAAATGAAACACACTGTAGAATCGTTAATGTTGAATTTTTTCTTGGAACTTGGTACAGATCTATTTCAGAGGACGTCGATTCCAGTGGGGTACGCGGATTATTTCTAAAAAAATAGCTACTATTTATTCTGAATCTTTCAACCTTTTAATGTGATCTACTAGGCCTTGGTTTTTAATAAAAGCGGACCTTTCCTCCCTCTACATTTCGAAAAAAAGTCGTGAAAATCGCTCCATAAATAGAAAGAAATTATGAGGGTGGCCCGCTTTCAATTGGGTCACTCTGTATAGAGATTGATTTTGATACCTCGTATCGAAAATTATGTAGAGAGAGTTGTCTCTGTTTTCTGTATAACAGTACTTCTATTAGGACTTTTCACCCCTAATGTTTACTTTTTCAAGTTTCAATTGACAGTTGTGACACTATTGACAGCAGCGCCACCGCAGACCACCGCTCCACCTCTGAACTGAGATCTCTCTGAGCACGAGGAGTGACGTAATCCATGACGTCATAATGACGCACGGTGAATATTTACAAGCGTTCTAAGCGTTAATCGAATCAATGATAGTGCGCTCAAAGCGATTCAAGTGCTGATTCGGCAGCGGTGATTATTTCGTTCTGAACTGACTGAAATATTTCACTTGAACTGATCTGAATCAGTCAACATGCATTCTATCAGATTGAAGTATTGCAATAAAACGCATTTCAACTGATTCAAATCAGTTTCAACAAAATATGTCAGTTAGTTCAGATTGCAAAAATATCACTCAAGTGAACTGTCGCCTGCTGCTGTCAGATGTCAAGTGAAAAACAATAGATCAGCAGTGTTGTCAAGTGTTTGGTATTGCTGAAAACATGGAGAGGCAAAAACAAAATGGGTTACACAAGGCCATATCATGGTACGGATACCATAATAATTATCGTAAAATTGGCAACATAATTGAACAAACAACACTGATGTTGACCTACATCTACCAGCGATCTCAAGTACAGATCTAGACACTCGGTTATGTCGATGGACAAAGAACAATCTTCCCATTCTCCTAACACATTCCCAATCATTTCCTCCCCACCCCTTCCAGAACACACGAATCATCCCGTTCCTAACCACGCCCTGATCATTCCCATTCCCGACCCTCCTTCAAAAACATTCCACCCTTGACCACGCCCCGATCGTTTCCTTCCCTCCTCCCCCTTCGATACCGTCGACCAATAACATTCCCGACCACACCCACCGACCGATCTCGCCCCTCCCCTCTTCGCTTATTCGGCGAACCACAGGCTGGGCTGGTACTGGTGGCCCTTGGCGGGGCTGAGCGGGGCGAAGCCGTACGCCGACGCGACTTGGGCGTGCGACGGGAACTGCAGGTGGGCGGGCAGCGGGTGGGCCGCGTGGGCAGCTAACACGGGGCGGGCACTGGCGTGGTGCGCGGGCGGCGGTGGTAGGGCACGGCTGCGATAAAAAAAAGTAGAGGTGAAGCGATAACTTTGTTTAGAATCAACGATCAGGGGCGTCGATAATATCCTGTCTTGGGCAGGGGGATGGGTAATGGCTATTTGGTCCCGGTAAAAAAAAAAAACTAAAACCTAAAAAAAAATTAACCTACTGTATAAGTCCATGTTGTCTCAAAGTGGGGTGAAGTAGGTAGTTCATATAGTAATAATACTCCAAGTCGTCTCCACAACGTTTAATATCATCAATCATTAAATCATAAATGGAAAGGGGACATGTTTCGGATCTATAGAGTATCCATCATCAGCCGATTGAGAAAATTATTCTACAAAGAACAAATCAACAATAATAGGGTATCGATGGTAAATTGGATTAATCCAGCGAGATCAAGATGATAACGTTTTTTCATTTTTGGATGTCTTCCGGCCTCCTAATGATTCCAAAAACATTTTTTCTGTTCCACGTGAGTACTACCATTGTAATGAAGTGTTTTTGACCAGCTTCATTACTAGACTGGTTTTGATCAAAATCTAAGTACCTGAGCCTGATTCTAGTTGAATTTCACCTGTTCGAAAGCTTGAAACCTGAAAACCTGAGAGAGCTGAGTAATGCATTGATTCCTGACTTCCCACAGCTTTTCCTGATAGTAAACTCTGATGAACATCATCACAACCCTAAAGACTTTAATATTTTTCAACCCTTTGCATATGATATGAAATTTAATTGAATTATTTATCATTTGAAATGTTGAATGTTTGACTGCTTATATTGCTTGTTATTGAATATTTTCCAGCCAAACTCATTCAGTAGCATAAGCAAAGGTAGTAGATCCTGTTCCTGTGCCCATTTAGGGTTGAATGTTATTTATTTCGCGTTTTGTGTTGGAGGTGCACATGTGCTTTTCAAGGACAGATTCAGTGGCCATGGCCATGAGCCATGACAAGGTGGGAGTTTTGACCAATGAGATTCCAGATTTACTTGTCCTTGTGTCAAGGCCAAAGCAGTGAATAAATACTGGAGACAGCCAAGGATTCTGGTCTCTCTTCTCTTCTTTATAAGTCTGAACTACCTGCTCGACCTGCTCTTCAAGCTCCGATTCTCTTGCTGATCTCTTAGTGCTCTCATAGTTCATTCAAAACCAGTGTAAAGTATAAATGTATAGTGATTTCCTGTTACACATGTAAGTTTGTATATTTTTCACCAGTGTTATTCATCCTGTTCATTGATTCATTTCATTCCTGTTGTTTTGCATACCGATACTCACCCGACCTGTGTAAAGAATCCAGAACTTTGAATTTGCGAATAAACGGATTTTGTGATTGCATATTTCATATTGCTTTCTCTGTTGTCATTGTTTTCAGTTCCAAATAGGTCAATAATTTATTTAGTGATTTTCAATATTTTCATTTGTCAAAATTGCAGATTCTTATTATTGACTGACGACTGACACTGACAAGCCAGTGGTAAATTCTTCTTCTTCTTTTCCTCGAGAAATCCTGTCCTGTGCATCCGGGTCTCTGTGTGTGTCCCGTCAGGCGGTGATCTATGTTTCATGAAATTTTTACATGAATGCATGAATGGAAAATATAATTAACCTCACTGAAATTCCGATATTAGAAAAGAAAATGGAAAGATAAATATGAATTGCATCTGTATAATTCGTTTGGAACCGTGTTTCCGATTCTCCAGGTAGACATTATGAAATAGATTGAATTACTAATTTTCCAGGCCTAACCTAAAAATATCAGAGACCCGAGAGATATTTTGCTTTCATTGCGGTAATTATCCGGACTAAAAATAGCAACCAGTATTCCAGGCTGAACCCAGGGTTTGTTATTAAAGCCTACACTCCCTTGGCTTCTTATGGATTCCAGGTCGATTCAATACCATTGACCCCTGGTTTATACTGTAGGTACCGAGGTGTATACCTCCTGTACCTTTCTCCACTGTTGCTACTTTGGGCCTCTGCACAAAAAAATATTTTGTGAGAGCAGGTAGAGTAAACTACCTCAAAAACAATCTGGCGCTCGAGAATCCCCCCCTATCAAATACCAGAGTAGTCTCCTGTCCTGAACAGAGCGTCAAAGTAAGGACCTCAGAATAAAAGACCTCACACCATGTTTTACCATTGATACCCTATTATTGTTGGTTTGCCAAGAATGTTATAACATCCTGGGCCGACAACAAGACTCGAGTATTGGCGTAGTCTACCGGGCCTAGCCCATTCCGAAGCATTAAATGCTTGTACAAGGAAGAAATAGGACTCTGAAAAACTACTAAAACTCAGCAGAGCACATCTCAGAGTTATAGTAGGTTTGCTCACTGGCCACTGCCAACTCAAACACAACATGCACAAAATCGGACTTGCACAAGATGCAGAGTGCCGTCTATGCATGGAGGAGGATGAAATGGCTAAACACATTCTATGTACAGGGCTAGTTTTATTAATGTGAACCCCCCTTTATCTTTTTTGTTTCACATCCATTAAAAAAAAATTAAAGCTGATTTTATACAATTTTTTATACAGATTTCACTCATATCGACAGTGATACAATATCTCTTCAAATATACAAGGTATACAGAAAAGTATATTTTTTTCAAATGGAATGCGCCGAATATTTTGATAGATTTGGATTGCTCAATCCATCCTGATTCCAAATATATGATATAAGGGATTCATATCTATCAAAATATACAGCGCATTCCATTTAAAAAGTATATATATTTTCTGAATTCCCTGTATATTTGAAGAGATATTGCAACACAGTCGATATGATTGTAACCTATATGAACAATAATTGTATGAAATCTGAATCAAATGTTTTTTGATGGGTGGAAAACGAAAAAGGTCAAGTGGGGTTCACATTAATAAAACTAGCCCTGTACATGCCCTGCAGCGGCCAGAATCAGATTTTCAACATTTGGCAATACAACAGTAGGGCCAGAAAACCTGAGAAATTGTTCTCCCAACGTATTCCTAGATTTTGCCAAGAGGTTAGATATACCGGGAGAAATATAACCATAGGGTGAGCCACAATAGGCCATAGGCCGCAGTGGAGGGCCCACTCAAGTTTAACCTAACCTAGAGTTCCTAAATGTACTTGACACTGCTGTTTTGACGTTTTTTTGTATGGGTTGCGTGCAAGAACTGTCAGATGACCGACACTGGAGGCAAAATATTGAAACACAACGTCACTTTATTTATTTGTTTACAAGTGATTGAAATAGTTTTTCACAATTATTTTGGCATACGAATCGTATTTTTCCGCTATTCATCAATTCGCTCATGCCATCACATTATGCTGTTGTGAAATGCACAAAAACTGCAGCGGAAGACGAAGTAATCCGGTTGGTACAATATGATTTAAAAGTAAGTACCTACTATAGTCACTCGTTTTCATTTTTGAAATTTGGTAATTTATCTGATTTCTCATCGGAATTCTTTCTGCGATAGAAGCTAATAGAAATACATCTAAAATTTCTAAAATAATGCCAGAAAATTGGATTCATGCAATCAATCGGGAGGACTGGTCTGACATGCTGACGATCGTGTGTGTTGTAGACATTTTCAATCTATTAGCAGTATAAGCTTGTATTGCAGAAGTGACAGAAGGCAGAAGGAATTTAAATAAGGAATGACAACATTTCATAATGATAACTATGTGAGATTACTATTCACCTGAAAAATCATATTCTTTAGTCTCTTGCTGCATTTTTTGTGCATTGTACAACAGCACAATGCGAAGGCATGCTCGAATTAATGAATAGCGCAAAAAACATGATTCGTATGCCAAAATATTGTGAAAAACTATTTCAATCCTTTGATTCCTCTGTAACCAAGTAAAAAAGTGAGGTTGTGTTTCAATAATTCACAGAAGAATGAGGTTGTGTTTCAATATTTTGCCTCCAGGGTCGGTCATCGTGCACGCGACCTATATGAGAGTAAGGACACTATGACAAGCACTGACAATCAGACATAACCACAAACAAATTGATGGAAAAAGCGGGAACTGACAGTACACGGACGTACATGATATAAATTTCAAACGTTTGACAAATTGAGAGAATTAGGAGAAAGATGCAAGTTTATGCAGTTTCCAACTGTGAGAACACGGGAAATCAATTTTGAGCAAAATTCATAGTTCAGATGAACAATACTATAAAAAACTTTTGCATTTGAAAAACCGAATGGAAGATTTGAATAATATTAGTAAAAAGGTTGCTTTATATGAGCATGGCAAATTATGGTTTTATGATAGTTTCAGGCATGAAAATTTACTGGTTAGTTAAGAAAAATAGATGAAATAACAATAAATATTCATATTTACCTCTGACCAACCTCTGGGTTTTCCTGCAATAACTTCTTGAAATATGAACTTTGCATATTGAAACACTGTAAATAATATTTCAATTCAACTCCCGAGACTCCTTCAAACACCTGATACATAAAACTACCAGAATAATAGGGTGATTTGGGAAAGACAATATAATTACAAGTGATTTATAATCTTTGTATGCCAACCAGACGCCATCTTGTCAGCTGAAATGTGACGTGGTTTGGATTGTCTAATATACAAAAAACGTCAAAACAACAGTGTCAAGTACATTTAGGAACTCCAACCTAACCTAACCACTTACCCTTGCTGGTGGCCGGCAGGCAAGTAGGCCGCGGCCTGCGCCTGAGGCAGCGGCGCCGGCGCCGTCGTCGTCACGTACACCGGCCGTCGGTACAGCTCGGCCGCCGATTGGTGCGCGTGGTGGGCGTGGTGCGCATGGTGGTAGAGCGGTTGGCCGGCGGCGGCCGCCAGAGGGTGCTGCGGCGAGACGCGCGGCTGCGCTAGCGGTTGCGGTGACAGGTGGGCGTGGCCTTGTTGTCTAAGAGATAATGATATAGAATAAAAAAAAATGAAAGTGAAAAACATGAAATACATGTAGGATTTTAATGTTGTCTAGGGTGAATGATAGTCCAAGGGGGTAAGTGAAAGTGTTTATTCGGACAACCAATGTCACAGGAACACTGACAGTACGTCACAATATTGAGCTTGATCTGCTCACCTTTCAAGGATCTCTTTACGTCCGTCGCGGCTCGACTAAGATGCTCCCCACGTCTTTATTCGTCTGTTACTATTATTTAGCTATGAGATTCTTCAATATCTTAACCAAAACTTCTATAAATAGTATATTCCGAACGTCTCTCGGAATTGCCCCTTCTTGTTATTATTTCTTAACCTTGGATACCCCTATCATTCTCGATAATACGTAATCCTAACTGAATATTGAAACACCGAGTGATATATAAATTCACCGTAGGAGAAACAATAAAATTCAATGCAAACAATATAATATAATTATTATAAACAAAATGAAAATATAAATTCCTACATACATTTTGAGAGTAGGTATTTAGGTATCTATGATAATAATTTATTTTTTCTAATTTTCGAAACTGACGGAAGTTTTTGAACGCCTTACTTTACGTAACTAGACACACTAGTCCATATTCATAAAAGAAGCCTCAGCTTTTACTTTCGAAAAATGAAGCAATTTCTTCGAGGTATATGCATAAGAATAATTGAAGGAAAGTTATGCTTCGAGGGGTTTGCTTCAAAGTAAAAGGTTCAACTCTTTTCTTATACAGTGTGTCCACCTTAAGGACTTACCACCCCTGTAAAATCGTTATTATCTGGCCGATTTCGAAAAACTTTTTTTTGTTGGATGGGTATTCGAAATGTCCATTCAACAAGAGAATGATTTTATTCTTGGACTGTTATCGTGGCCATCAACAGGCAATCAAAAATATACATATATATCAGTGTTTGCAAAAAAATCTGTTATATACGCCTAATTTATAAAACAGATTCCAATTGAGAAACGAACTGGAAGACGTGGAAGACGAATAAGTCATCGCACTATCAGCAGAAGGCTTAGAGAAGTTGGTCTGAGGGCCTATAGATCGAAGAGAGCTCCACAACTCCAGCGACGTCATCGGGTGGCAAGACTCAGCTCCGCTAGGCAGCATGGTAATTGGGGAAATGACCAGTGGGCCAACGTTCTTTTTACAGATGAGAGCCGCTTCTGCATCAATTCAATAGATGGCAGGGAAAGACTATATCGCCGCCGAGGTGAACAAAATGAACAATTTAATTTTACTGCTACTGTCTCCTATGGGGGAGGTTCAGTCATGGTTTGGGGTGGAATATGTTTAGGGGCACGAACAGAGTTGGTAGTGGTTAATGGCGCTTTAAATGCAGATGGCTATATACGAGATGTTTTTCAACAGCATGTCATACCATTCGCCCCCCATATCGGAGAAAACTTCTTGTTAATGCACGATTATGCCCGCCCTCACGTGGCTCGTGGCACGTGGAGCAAAGGATTGGCCTGCATGTTCGCCAGACCTCAATCCAATAGAACATGTATGGGACATGTTGGGTAGACGATTAAGGTCCAGAATTCCCACTGTACAAAATCCCGAGCAAGTAGCAGCAGCTCTGGTTGAGATTTGGGATAATCTTCCTCAAGAAATGATCGATAATGTCATCGAAATAAGAGCGCGTGGAGGTCACACACAATTATTGTTGGTGTTTTGAATCCGTATTGTTCGTTAAGTTAATGTTATTGTTATTGAAAGGAGGCTTTGGGAAAATTACATATCATTTTAATCATATCTGTATATTTCTAAGAAATCTTGTCACAATAGACAACTTGAGAATAATACCAAATGGATGTCTTCATGGTTACTCCTGATATGCTTATGTTCGGCACAGTGAAATCGGCTTCTCTAGAGAAAAGGCATGCTTGTGTTTTGTTTGCATTGAAATCTACCAAGTTATTGGATCCCCATTCGAGAATTGTTGCCAAGTCCATATTTATGTTGTCAAAATTTCTCCCTCGTTTGTTTCTGATTTGCCTGGCTGGTATTAGAGCCTTGGAAGAGAAGGCGGTATGGAGGGTACTATCATCCGCGAAGCTGTGTACTGGATATGAAGTTGCTTCCAACAAATCGTTGATATGGAGTAGAAATAGTGTTGGTGCTAGAATTGATCCTTGCGGAACACCAGCATTTATGGTAAGAGTCAGATGAAACTCCGTCGACCACTACATGGAGAGACCCGTTTGAGAGAAAACTAGCTAGCAGAGAACATAGCTGGGGAGGCAAGCCGTAAGATGAAAGCTTGGCGAGGAGTCCGTGGTGCCAGACTCGATCGAATGCTTTGGAGATATCAAGTGCCACTGCTAAGGTTTCACCATATTTTTCAATATATTGCTGCCATATGGCCTATCGTTGCCAATTATTGCTGAATCTTCATTTGGAATCTATCTGGATCGCCGTAAAATTTAATGAGGATTCCGACACTATACACATATGTGTGTCTAATCGAACAATAACAAATTTAGTATTTTTTACCACCAAACAATATTGCTGATTTTCCAGTTGACAACCATCTAGTTCCAGGTGAAATATCATGAGGATTCCGAATCTACATAACATATTCGTGTCAAACTCACCTGTACCCCGGATGCATCCCCTGCTGGACCGTCCCCCACCCCTTCCCGCCCCCGCCCCCCGCTGCCGCCGCCGACAGCAGACGCCCGTCCCGCGTCGAATGGGCGGCCGGCGGCTGAAGGCCGTACCCCTCCTGCCCGCCCGCGTACTCCTGCGGCGGCCCGCCGACGACGGGCACGGCCGAGTGGCGGCGCGAGCTGCCCCCACCGCCCCCCGAGGAGACGTGGGCAGCCGGGGGCGGCGCGGGTGCCGCCCACGAGACTCGCTTCTCGCTCGACGATGACGAAGAGGACGGCGTGCCGTACGGCTGGTCGTACTGGTACGCCTGCGAAGAAGAGAACTGTCATCAAATGTTGACATTTTGTTAAAATATTTCCAGGAAAAATAGTATCATGAGTTAGGGTAAACCGGTGAAATACGCCCCAGTCCGAGTAACATAAATACTATCCGGCAGCCGGTACAGTAGCCACCAGTTACTTCTGTTGTTTACTTTTTTTTTTCGTGGTACGCCTGAAATTTTGGCCATTTCGGCACTTTTTCACTCGAAAATATTCACATTTTCTGTCGATCAAGGTCCCAGTCCAGCTCATAAAATTATACGGTAAGTAATTATTTTTCAAGTTTCAACTTGTTTCTCAAGTTTTTTGTAATTTTGTTGAAGCCATGAGTAAATAGTCTATAAAATCTAAATCACGTATTTCAAGTTCTTCAAGCTCCGAAAGTGAACCCATTCTAAGCTCTTATGATGAGATGTCGGATGATACTGAAAACTTTTGTGTCAAATATAGCGAATACTATTTTACTACGAAGTCCAAAGTTGACTGGACACGAGACTTGCGGGAGTCACTTAACCACATGCAGTGGTGGTGCCAATAAAACACTCAAAAAGGTATATTTTTTAAGTGGGGCGTATTTAACGACTATAAGGGAGAAAACGCCCCATCGTAATATTTTTTCAATATCTCTTTCGGAAAACTTTGTTACTGTTTTGTCAAAATGTGTTCAGCATAATGAAATATACCGCTTAGCTAATATGTTTATGGAACTGAAACGAAAGATAAGTTTGTATTTTTGTGAGAATGATTTTTTTTTTTCAAATTTGGGGCGTATTTCACTGGTTTACCCTATATTCGTATGAGTATTCCATGATTGAGACAATAAACGAGCGGCTCACGAGAGTTGCGCACACTGCATCCCTCATTCTGGTTTCCAACATAACTGACGTTTCAAAAGTTCAAAATTTTATCGCTGAAATACGAGGAAGATTGGTCACAGAAGAAACCGTGAAAATTGCCGATTCTGATTGATTCTAGAGACCAAGAGTGGAATAGTTGCTGTAAAACTGCCTGTTCATTTCTTCTAGTAGGTATGCATACATACAACTTCATAATTTCATCGCTGAGTTCCTTCTTCAAGCAAGGATATAATGAGGTAAATACTAAATATGGTCCTTCGAGCCGGATATAATGTGGAATATTACAGTAGAATAACTATAGTAAATATGACATGTATGGTCTATGGCTCAGATGAAAAAAACATTGTATTTTCTTTAATGCGCGCAGAGTCCTATATGAACTGAGGCTAAGATATACAACAATGACTGAAATTGGAAGCGTGTAATGGATATTACAAACGTCCGAGAATGAACTACAGAACATGACGTGAATATACAGATACGCCTGTTGCTTCGGATAACCTAGTGCATTAATTACCTGTGCGGGTTCCTTGCAAGCACTACCGCAATGCTGCATATACTGGTAGTCGGCCGGCTCCTGCTTGGTCGGCACGTTCAGCATACACTCGGACTGCGCTTTAGCCAACAACCGCTTCTTCTGCGACGCATACTCTCCTCCACCAGAAGAATGCTGCTGCTGCTGTTGGTTGTGGTGGTTCTGCTGATGACTGTGGTGGCTCTGCTGATGGCTGTGGTGGCTCTGCGTCGTCTGGCTGCTCTGGTTTTGACACGAGGATGATGACGGTTCGTTCTTGATCACCTGGTTGTGGTGGTAGATGGCGCCGTTGCTGGTCGTGCTGCCGCGGGAGTTGTGAGCGTGCTGTGGAAGGACGAAAATACATCTTCAATATTTGGCGAGCAACAAGAGTAATATTAGTACACTGGACAGGACCTTTTTACAAAATTGATCTCCTTCATAATTTCTTTTGATGAGCCAACCAACGTTTTTATTTGCAAAAAAAATGACCACTTTTTTAGGTTCTTCTTATTTTGCATTTCTTCTGCGAGAGGATTTTTTGGATGAAACATAAAAACTTCAACTCTGCATAAATAGCTTATGACAAAAAATGAAACAACTTTCATAACATAATAATACACCCACAACATAATTGTCAGTAATTCACTTATAATTATAAACTCAAGTTATTGCTGTGAGGTAAATTACAAAATGAAAAATATGAATTATTCAAACATGAACGAAGCGGTACCACAAAGTTTCGTAGTATACGAGTAATAATCGTATGTAATATCTCCTCGATTTTGAGAAACAAATCATGTGGCTTGGCAAGATTATTTCACTCATTATTTCACGAATAAAACAATAATTTCGTGTCATATTTTCATTCGCAATCGGTTATTCAACTAACTATACGTGCCAGTACATCGATAGCTATCTAGTAGTTGACAAGCAACTAGAGACAGGATGCACCAAATATTGTCGGGGGTCTTGTCTAGTCATTGGCCGGAATCGCTCGCAATATTTGATGCGTTCTCTAGACGCTAGAGCCAAGTTGTGAGAGGTTAGGTTGATATAGAAAATGCTTGTTTAAAATGCCGATCATACCAAAATTCTTCGATACAAAATTCGGAGGTGCCCGGGAGGGAGTGTCGTAGTAAGAAATGTTATTTGTTGTTTTTGTTGTTATCTATGGTTTTCCGGCTGTTGTGTGGTTAGTTTTCGGTGTTTCTACTAACCCATTTGATATTATGAATATAAAGCAAACTATTTTGTGAATAAATATGGTTCGGCAGTTACTAATATCCTAACCTGATATTTCACAGGTGAAAAGGAATTTAGTCCAGTGACGGCCTTGTTCCTTATTCATTAGATAATATATAGAATCTATCTATAAAGATTAAAAAAAATCAGGCAATGATTCCGCAGTTATCCCCACCATTCGCGATTTCATACATTCATCCGTGTTTGGCGTTTAGGATTTTTGTCGTATACTGTTTAATGATTTATCAATGAATCGCAGTGTTAATCTGTTATTCAGTCTCATCACTCATCCGCAAAAATACAAGTGTCTGTTATTATCCCCACCATTTGCGATTTGATTCATTTATCCGTGTTTGGCGTTTAGGGTTGTCAGCGTATACTGTTCAATGATTTATGAATGAATAGCGGTGTCTTTTTATCATTATTTAGTCTGAGCACTCACCCGCAAATGTACAAGTGTCTGTTATTATCCCCACAATTCGCTATTTCATTCATTTATGAGTGTTCAGCGTTTAGGATTGTTGGCGTACACTTTTCAATGATTTATGAACGCATGGAGTTGTCTATCTACTGTTATTGAGTCTGAGGGTTCAACTGAAATATGAATCATGAACATGAGAAAATATGTGCCCGACAAATGTCATAGGCACGTTCACCACCCCGGAATCAACATCTAGTGGAAATTTCCAAGGTATTCCCCGAACATTTCATTTCAAATTCTCACTGTTTCCACTAAAAACAACACAGTAATGAACCACACCTCCGAAATGTTTTCTAGAAACCTCCACTCACCTTCGTCGATCCCCTCTCCTCGTTATCGCTATCCTGCAAGCTGACGCAACTGATCACGTTCTTCCTATGGACCACTCCCCCATTTTGCCCCCTGCTCCCCTTCTTGCCCCCACCTCCTGTCTCGTCCTCGCTATCGGAGATCGTGATGACGGAGACGGCCGGCGAGGGGGTGTCGTTGATGGTGATGGTGTGCTGTTTGCCGCCACCGTTGTGGGGATGATGATGGTGGTGGTGCTGGTGGTGGTGGTGATGGTGCGTGGAGGCGGGCGGCGCATGGAGGTCGTGAGAAGTGGCGATCTGTGGAAGAAAACGATGGTTTGTAACGGTTTTGCGGGATTGATTAAAAGTCAATAGACAAGAACACTAATTTCGAAAATAATAGCTATTATATTCATCACGATGAGAAAAGGCACAGAGAACTTTTAGCTGAACCTTTGGTATGTTGTAACAAAAGTTCCATCGACCTAACATCAAAAATTGACAGTTTTCCCGATATTGACCTCCAAATATAATTCTCTGGGGAATATCAAGTCTCTGAGAATGGCTGCATTTTTGTTATATTGATGAACCGATCAGTGATCAGTAAATCTCTAGAAAAAATACTATGACTTTCATCACAATGAAAAAAGGCACAGAGTTTTTGGTATTGATAGTCGAGAAAATTAAATAATTCACACTATTCAGATAGATGAACAGTGTTACCTTCTCAACAGATTCTCAAGCTGTATGGGTAGTTCAACAACGGTTGAGTTTAAAAACAGCTTAGGCTGAAACTCCGCCCTTTCACCAATAATTATTGTAATATCATGTATCCACTTGGATCCTTGTTTGTATGAACTTTGGTGATTAAAGACGCATTATTATTATTATTATTTAAATTGAATTCAGGCATTTGTGTTCTCGTCTATCATTCATTCCAAGTAGTTCGACCTGATGCTTACCTGTTGTTGAGTGGAAGAATGTTGCCATTGAGTGCTAGGGCTGTGATTTCGCCTGCTGCTGCTGGCGTAGTGGATCTGTTCCGATGGTGGGGTGCCCTCTTTGACTCGTTTCTTCACAGGACTGAGCTGCGTCTGTTCTTTCTTGTCGTGCTGAGATCTGTGATGGCTGGGAACCTGCAATAACAAAGAAAAGGTGAAATCGATCTCATTCCACTTGAAACAGCGATAATTTGGTCATATACTTTTTCAAAACCTGCGTCAATATCGTATTACTTTTGACACATATTGTACCAAAATACCTCGATCGGAGATCACTAACTTACAGATACCTGTCCGGCTAATCAAGTATCGCGTTAGATTTCTATCAGTCGGTATCCTTACCATTTCCTACCTTGTTTGACTCTCCTTCAGGTGTCGCGGAGAGTAAGATTTCAATATTATTGATAGTCGCAGTAGGTTCTTGCGCCGTCTTGTCCTGCAAACTCGAAGATCTTGCTGCTGAAGCTTGGACTTCGTATAAGGCTGTGAGAAGCCATTTTGATGCGCATTAAGCAATCTAAAAGCCTTTGGGTGTAACTGTTGAATAATAGCGTGCTACTATGCGCCAGGGCGCCAGGTTTTAGGTAAGTCACTATTATTATGTATAGGAGTCTCTCTTCTTCTACTATTCCTTTCTGGAGACTGATATTTGAAGCTTGTTTGAGGTTAGGTAATGTGCCGGGACTGATGTGATTACGCAATTTTAGATTGGTGTAAGCTGAGAATAATCTGTCCAACGAACCTTTGCATTTGGCTTATTTGTGAAACAACCCTAACCCGTACAATATATAAATTGAATTATAATTATATTATAAAGTGAATTATAAATTAAGGTATTGGAAGGGTTGTATAGGGGGTTGTCCGGATGACGAATTTTCGTAAGAATTCTTGAGGGGTCGGCATAAAGTCTTGTAAATCAAGGTAACTGTCCTGGCGTTGATACCTTTATTTTGACATGTCAATCCACGAAAATGTTCAACTCTGGCGATTACTTTCTTCTGTGTTGATTGAAGGTATTTTTGAAGTTCAATTTGTTATCAAAGAGAACCCCTAGGTAACAGGCTTCTGGAATTGGGTTAATGGTTTCATTAAGGATGTTCATGAAGGACAACAAATCGTAGTTTCCCTCGTTTTCTATTTCACGTGAAATGATGAAACACATTTTTTCAACTTTTTCCAAAAGAAAAAGGAAATGAAAAATAAAAAGAAATAGTCTTTTTGTGTGAAAATGTTCCACATAAACATCACAACATTTTAATAACTCATAGGAATTATGAATTGTTTGAGGTACGTATCTCTCTTTTTTGTTTTAGTTCTGGTCACTATCATTCCACAATGTAAAACATTCCCAATGAAAACCATTATTCACAGATTCATTGAATATTAATAAATTGACAAAGCCCATGGCCATGGGCGAAACGTTTTTCTACCTAATCTTTTTAAATTACTTATGAAACCGAATCCAAACCTCAAGAAGAAGCTGCAAATCAAAAAATTAAGGATGTTGATGGTTGGTGAATTGTTCACAATTTTGTGGTTGAATATAATTAATTTGCATTTTCTTGGCCCAATATATCAATAAAAAGTTTGAAGACTCTGAAGGCAAACCGAAGAAAATGTGGGATACAATAAATTATTGTCTTAGAGATGGATCAAGAACTAACAAGAAAAATCACATTGAATCAATAAAGGTTGATGATACAATTGTTAATAATGATTTGGAGATAGCTGAAATTATGAATAATCACTTTTCAAGTATTGGTGAAAAAATAGCAAAAGAAATAATCACATACTATAATAACATTCAATGTAAAAATATTAGTCCTGATTATAACAACTCCACAATGATTTTGTTTCCCACTGATGAAATGGAAGTTATTGAAATAATTCAGTCTTCAAAGAAAACATGCTCAGATCCTGAAGGTTTGATAACTAAAGATATATTCGAACTAAAAAATATTTTGGCCAATCCATTATCAAAATGAATCAATAAATGTTTTACCAGTGGTATATTTCCACAAGAATTAAAGCATGCTTCATTAAGACCAATTTACAAAAGTGGAGATACTCAAGATCCAGAAAATTATAGACCAATCGCCTTATTGAGCATTTTTTCCAAAATTGTTGAGAAGATTCTTAAAAAACGCATTGTAAATTTCATAAATAGAAAATATAGCTTTGACATAAATCAATTTGGTTTTCAAGAAAATAGTGACACACAAGCGGCAATATTACAAGTAATACAAGCAATACAAAAAGGACTTGATACCGGAAATTATATAATAGCAATTTTTGTTGATCTCAAGAAAGCTTTCGATACAGTAGACCACATAACACTTTTGGAAAATTTAGAATCAATGGGACTCAGAGGCATGATAAGGAACCTTTTAGATTCGTATCTTCAAAATAGGACAATCAGTACCAAATCTACCAACTCAGAGTCTCATAGACTACCGATGACTAAAGGTGTCCCTCAAGGATCTGTTTTAGGACCAATTTTATATTTATTATATATTCAAAATATCACGAAAATTGATACAGAATGTAATTACACTATTTATGCAGACGATACGGTACTTTTATATGAAAATAAAAATCCTATCATTTTAGAAAATATAATAAACAGAGACTTGATGAAATTTGAAAATTGGCTGCATTCAAACCTCTCATCAATAAATACTGATAAAACGGAATATATGATTTTTCAACAAAAAATAAACAAAATATAAATTTAAATCTCAGAATTAAAAATGAATCTTTGAAACGAACTAATGAGAAAAAGTATCTTGGGATTTGGTTTGATGATAAATTGAAGTGGGACAAACATATAAATGTTTTGAAGAAAAAAATATCTCCTATTATTGGAGCCCTGAGAAGATGTCCCAAGCTGAATAAAAAAGTTGCAAATATAATTCTATATTCTCATATACTCAGTCGTATTAACTATTTGATAAATGTTTGGGGATACTGTTCAAAAAACAATTTTAATAAAATATCTGCATTATATAAAAAGACATTGAAAGTACTGTATCGTTTACCATATGATACACCAACAAATCAATTATATAAAATAACTAGATCATTCTCATTAGAAGAAATGTTCAAAATCGAAAGACTGAAAATTACATACAATATCATAAATAAAAGATTGAAATCTAATTATTTTAACACAAAACAATGAAATTCATAATTATCAAACTAGACAACATGGTTTATTTCATCTTGATATCGCTAATACTTCTATAGGCCAAAAAAGATTCACCCACGCTGCTCTCTTGGAATATAACAAATTACCAGATAATATAAAAAATTGCAGAAATACAATAAAATTCAAATACCATCTTAAAAAATTTATCATTTCTGAACGAAATAGATGACTTTTTTTTTTTCAACTTTTGATTCATATTCAAATTGATTTTTGCTCACCAAATATGAAATGATTTGTCAAAATTTAATAATTAATGTTTTCAAATATTTTATTATTCATCAGTTTATTATAATTGTATAGTTTTAGGTATTATTGTTAACTATACTTCCTTATACACTACACTGTTTTACCACTAACCAAACCGATTTTTTAACGCCTCGACACGTGTTTCGCTAACTATGTTAGCATCTTCAGGAGAAGATTGAAGCGTTAAAAAATCGGTTTGGTTAGTGGTAAAACAGTGTAGTGTATTATCGTGCCAAAGGTTCCAGTCTTCGATATACAGGGTGTTATTTAAGTACGTGGCCAAACTTGAAGGGGTGATTCTTTGAGTGATTCTAAGACGAAAAGTTCATATAAACATAGGTCCGGTAATGCTTCGTTTTCAAGATACAGGGTGTCAAAATTTTTAAAAGAAATCGTTTTTTTCGTGTAAATATCTTAATAACCCTTCAACCGATTTTATTGAAATTTGGCAGTGTTATTCAAGGTCGTAAAGGGCTAATTTAATCCTAACTATATCAAAATTATCATGTCCAGTGGCGTCCCGGAAGGCACTGTAACCAATACTTTTGACAGAAAAAATGTGCGCCACTGATTTTTTTGTAATTTTTGTATTTGTTTCACATTGAGCAACTAAAATTACAACTTTTTTATTTCTAGAATTTCTTTCGTATCTTGCTTTGTTTTTGAGAAAAAACATAAAAATCACTTCATTGCACATCCCTGTGACGAGCCGAAGCCAAGAGCCGAAGGCAAGTGCTGCAATTCATGCATACATATTTTTTGTTTTTTCATAGCATTAATTTTGATAGAAAATTCCAAGACTAGAATAGAGTATCAATATGAAAAAATATTAGTAAGACCCCAGTTTTTGATGGTTTAGTAGTTGAAATGTTTTATTGTGTTGTCACAGTGATGTGCAATGAAGTGATTTTTATGTTTTTTCTCAAAAACAAAGCAAGATACGAAAAAAATTCTGGATATAAAAAAGTTGTAATTTTAGTTGCTCAATGTGAAACAAATACAAAAATTACAAAAAAATCAGTGGCGCACATTTTTTCTGTCAAAAATATTGGTTACAGTGCCTTCCGGGACGCCACTGGACATGATAATTTTGATATAGTCAGGGTTAAATTAGCCCTTTACGACCTTGAATAACACTGCCAAATTTCAATAAAATCGGTTGAAGGGTTATCAAGATATTTACGAAAAAAACGATTTCTTTTGAAAATTTTGACACCCTGTATCTTGAAAACGAAGCATTACCGGACCTATGTTTATATGAACTTTTCGTCTTGGAATCACTCAAAGAATCACCCTTTCAAGTTTGGCCACGTACTTAAATAACACCCTGTATACTTCCTTATACCAGAACTTGATTCTGACTGGAAGTAACATTTTCAATAAATAAAATAAAGCATATCGAATTGAAACAAATGTATTGAATGTGAACACCTAACAGTCAAAAAACCCTTACCATCAAGTGGTGGTGCCCATGAAGACTCCCACCTCCGCCCTGCTGCCCGTGGTGGCCTTTGGAGCTCCTCTTGCTCGCCCCCCAAGAAGCCGCCGCCGCCGCAGCCGCAGCAGCCGCCGCGTGCTCCACCATCGGATTATACACCTCGGCGGCGGCGGCAGCTGCCACATCCACCGGAAACACGGGCCGCTGCTCCTGCAAGATGGCGGACGAGTCGACCAGCAGGGGGCGGCCCCAGTCCTCGGAGATGAGCGGCTGCTGGATGGCGGCGTGCTGCGGAGGCAGCTGCTGCCACGACGGGACTAGAGCCATCTGTTGGCGGGTGGTGGGCCAGGAGGTTTGCACGGCGTTCTGGGATGACAGACGGGTTAGAATAGGCTGGGTTCGTTTTCATTGCTGAACTTGCTGAAGTTGAATTTTTCCCATAGTTGTTTGTCTCTGTTCATGGCAAACATGTAAACGCGGAAAGTCATAGGAAAAAATCAAGTTCAGCAGTTGCAAGCCCAAACGATCAAGACTTGTAAGTGTGTGTAATCAGGGCCTACTCTATCTCACCGGGCCGTAGTCTATCCCCACTACCTCGATGCTGACGTCACACTAGTAGGTTGAGATTTCACATCATTTCATATCGGTGCGTTCGTAATTAAAAAGTTATAATCTTTGGTAGAAGTCCATATTGCTCATAGTGGAGTAAAATATTTCACAGGTAATTATTACTAAATCATGAGGGACATGTTTCGGTCTTATGAAAGATCATCATCTTCAGCCTAATTGAAAGGTTTGGAGTTGAAAAAATTATTTTATTATGATGCTACTATTCCTTGAACTGTCAATGCCCATAGTCAAGAGTTCCAAGGTTCTGAAAAAACGGGTTCTCAATAAATGAAGGGCCCCGTGCCCTGAGAGCGTATACTATTTTTTAATGAACATTTCATACTCCAAAATCAATTTCAAAATGAAATTTCAAAAAGTAAGCGAGATATTTCAATTAATAGTGTTACAGATCATGGAACCATATTCACGCTGTATATAGTTGAATTTTTATTTACTCTGTATGTTTCTAGTTTGATGTGTATTGTCAAGTTTGTCATTAATTAATTCTATAAAAAGTCATATCTGATTGAGCTTCTTTTTCTGATTGTACCACGATACATTAGTATTTTCACTATTCTGATCCATATTTCATCCTTCATACGAAGTATTCAATCACCGGGTAGGTGAATTACGAATATTTAACATTTGGCGACCGTGACAGGACCCCCGACTATGGAGAAGGCGAAGAAAGTACTTGCGGTTCAAAGAAGTTCATTTGATCAAGTTTTTTATGACATCATGAATCTATTCAGCGAAACAGATAAGGATAAGATTGGTATATTCAGTAAAATCAACCTCCTAGAACAGAAAATTGAAATATTGATGGATTTACATAAACAGGTTGTGGATTTTCTGTTGGACGATGAAAATGCCTTGATATCGGAGATTACACTAGCTGATGAATATTCTGCAAAGTATTTCAAAGTGAAACTGATGGCTGAAAATCTTTCTAGTAAGGATTTCATTGCAGACAATATCTCTCAGTGTTCTAGTAACTCCAGAAGAAAGCTCAAATTACCGACCATAGAATTCAAAAAGTTTGGTGGCGAAATAAGAGACTGGCTCTCCTTCTGGAGCCAATTTCAACGAGTTGACGATGATGAAGACATTGCTTTGGAAGATAAGTTTCAGTACTTGATTCAAGCAACCATACCAAATTCGAGAGCTCGTCAGCTTGTGGATAGCTACCCTCCAAGTGCAGAAAATTACCCGAAAGTAATTGAATGCCTAAAAAACAGATTCGGAAGGAAAGATTTTCTCGTAGAATTCTATGTACGTGAGTTGCTGAAGCTAGTGTTGAACAATCTCTCAGTCAATAACAATCTTAGCTTCCTTTATGACAAAATGGAATCCCAATTACGGGCCTTAGAGACTCTTGATGTCACCTCAGAAACTTGTGCGGCTATGTTGTATCCCCTGATGGAATCTTGTCTACCTGAAGATCTCATTCGAGTATGGCAGAGGAGTACATTCTACGATACTGATTCTACCCTCAAGAATCGCCTAGATAAATTGATGAATTTCCTTAGAAAGGAAGTTGAAAATGAGGAGAGGATTACTTTGGCAATGTCAGGTTTTGGAATTCAAAACAGATCCAAGAAGAGAGATGATGCCCCGAAACATCATGTTCTGCCAACCGCTTCTGGATTGATTAATAATAACATTCAGAAGAAATGTCACTTTTGTTGTGGTATCCATTTGACCGAACATTGCGTAGAGGCCAAGAAATGGTCTTTATCTGATCGTAAGAAAAAATTGATGGAAAAAGGATGCTGTCATCAATGTTTGAAATATGGACATATTTCTAGAAAATGTCGTGTAAATTTGACATGTACTATTTGTGGTGAGAGACATCATGACATTATGTGTCCGAAACCTGATGAACCAGCATCTAAGTCAACTGTAGTCAATAAGAGTGTAGAGAACAATTTATCCAATAGCTCATATTCTGAAGTTTTTCTGCAAACTCTAGTTGCCAAATTGAATGGTTCCAATAAATCAAGGACAGTTCGAGTGATTATAGATACTGGGTCTCAGCATTCGTATATAGCGAAGGCAGTAGCTGAAGAAATGGATTATGATTGTTTGCGGCAAGAAGAAATCATCCATGCCCTCTTTGGTGGTTCGAAAACGAATGCTGTCAAACATAACTGCTATCGTATAAGATTGAGTAACCTGACGAATGATTATGCTTGCAACTTCGAAGCACTTGACCACTCTATCATATGTAGCAATGTAGCATGTGTTCGTAAGGGCCCATGGATTGAAAAGTTACACTCTGTTGGTATTGAAATCACGGATTCCCAAGAGGGAGCCATTGATGTTTTAATTGGTGCTGATATAGCCGGTAAATTGTTGACTGGAAACCGTTACGAGTTGGATTGTGGCCTAGTAGCACTAGAAACCCTGTTAGGTTGGACACTGATAGGGAAACTTCAAGACGAAAACAATGAAAAGACCGAACCATCTATGGTGATGTCGATGTTTTCGAAAAACGACTCGATTTCTGATTTATGGAATCTAGATGTGCTTGGTATATCTGATCCTGCAGAGAAGAAAACACAGCAAGAAACCGAAGAATTTGTCATGAATCAATTTTTAAATACGCTCACTAGAGAAAATGATGGCAGATATGAAGTTCATTTGTCTTGGATCGAAGATCACCCTCCCTTGCCAAGTAACTATGGGATAGCCAGAAAACGACTCGATTCCTTGGTGAAGAAACTCAATACCGATGGTTATTACGACCGATATGACCAGGTTTTCAGAGAATGGATGAATGAGGGCATCATCGAAGAAGTTCCTGAGTCAGATTTGATGAAAGAGGGACATTATTTACCTCACCGTCATGTTGTGAATGAAAACAGCGCAACTACCAAGATACGGCCTGTTTTTGATGCTTCTTCGAGAGAGAAAAATCAGCCATCTCTGAACCAGTGTCTAGAAAAAGGCATAAATTTGATTGAGTTGATCCCATCCTTGCTGATCAGATTTCGCATGTCAAAATTTGGACTCATTTCTGACATAAGAAAAGCTTTTCTACAAATAAGCTTAAATGTCAAAGAAAGAGATTTTCTGCGTTTCTTATGGTTTGATCATACAGGAGTGTTAAAAACTTATCGACATGCGAGGGTAGTTTTCGGAGTTACATGCAGTCCATTCTTGTTAGGAGCAGTAATAGAAACACATCTCAAAAATTGCCTCGAAAGTTCAACGAATTATGAAACAAGATTAATAATTATTCAACTACTCAAGAGTTTTTATGTGGACAACTGTGTCACGAGTCTGGATAGTATGGAAGAAATCCAGAATTTCATTGAAGTTTCCACAGAGTTATTTGCCGATGCCAAGTTCGACCTGAGAGGGTGGGAGCATTCAAGTATTGAAGGTAATTTTGAAAACACCAATGTTTCTTCAGTTTTGGGACTTTGCTGGAATAAAAACTCAGATACTTTGCAGTTGAATTCAGAATGGTTTCAAGAAATCAATACAGAAACTATTACGAAACGTATTATTTTATCTACTGCTCATCGTCTTTTCGATCCTATAGGATTTTCGTGCCCAGTTTCCCTTTGGCCTAAAATATTATTGCAAAAGATATGGGAATTGAAGATAGAATGGGACACTGAAGTACACGAAGATATCAAGAAAAGTTTTTTGAAGTGGGTGGAGGAAATTCCGACACTCCTGAGCCTGAGAATCCCCAGATGGTTATTTGGTTCCACTGATGGAAGAAATCACTGTAGTTTGCATGTTTTCTGTAAATACAAATTTAGTTTCTCCGTTGACGAATTCCAAAATTGGGTTAACTTCTTTGGCATCGATAAATCATAACCAAAAACACCACCACCACTCACCGTCAACAGCATCTGCCTGCCGCTCGGCTCCACCACGCTGACGGGCACGTACTGCTGCTGCCCCGCCTGCCCCAGGATGGGCGGCTGGATCTGCAGCTGCGGCTGCTGCACGACGGCAACGTGCTTAGCAGGCGAGCCGCCCATGCCCTGGTACCCGGCCGGGCACAGGATGGACGAGACGAGCTGGTGCTGGAAGGGGTCCGCCCGGCCGCCCGTCGCGTACTGTCTGCCCACCGTGCGGCCGTTGTAGATCTGGTACTGGAAAGAGAGAAGAATAAATGCTGCTGTATTTTCTTAATTTTATCCACAGTATCATAGATAATGAAAGATAAAATATTTTCATTCATATTTTCATATTTCATTAAACCATACAAATCCAGTCCACTATCTTTCAATCATCGGACATATCGGTCCTTCGAGCCGGATCTACTCAAAACAAACCTTCAAAGACTGCTAAGTTCTTAACAAAGGAGCATTCACATTGCATAATTTTGTAACAAACCGATGCATAAAAAGACGAGACGGACGCAACACTCGAAGGTATTTTTTTTGAAGAAAAAATACCGGGGGTGGGGCAAGGCTCCTTCGAATTCAATCGTAACACTGATGAAATTCAACTGTGAAAATTTTCAAACTGCCTGGGAGGGTCCGGCCGTTGTAGATCTAATAGTGGAAAAAGAGAGAGGATCGATGTAGAGAAAAACGAGGCAGATGCAACAGTCAAAGGTGAATTTTTCGAAGAAAAAAATAACGAGGGGGGCAAGGCCCCTCCGATTTTATCCTGACACTGATAAAATTCAACGGTGTAAACTATCTGGGTATTTTGAATTCAAAGAGAACGATGAAATCATCAGCCCATCAGAAGTAAAAAAAAAATTATTATTATTTATTAAATGTTCATTTTTAGCAGAAAATTCGAGAATATTTTTCAATGTGTATGATACAAGGACATTGACGTAGCATAACTATGTCAGACGTATTCTGAAATACCAAAGCAGCTAGTACGAGACAACGGTAACCTGGTGGTGTTATTTGGGCAAGATGAAATGAATCTGAAACGTGTGTTCAATGGGCATGTGTCACCAAACATGTCATTTGATCAGTTCAAAGCTTTAAGCTCAGAGTGTTGAAATTTCAGTCAATATGATTGATGAACCGCTTGATCCTCGTGCTTTAAAACAATGCTGATTCCAAAAATGATACTTGATAGTCCGAACAAAAATGATAAAACAAATGAATATGACAAGATTGCCGAGTGTCGAATTCAAGAAAATCTATAAATGCCAAATGTATTCCATCGTCTTACGCGGAACGTTGAGAGATGCGTTATGGTATCTGTAAATCAGGGGTTACGCCTGATAATTCCACTGTTGGAACTGTCACGCTATATCTGTGGTTGTAAGCAGCATATCTAACTTGTTACTACGTGGATCTCCTATAAAACCGTGCATTAGGAGACAGTGGACTGGAAAAATATTGGTAGAAAATTTGTATCACGATGTAAATACACCATTTACCCATTAAGTGAGAAGCAAAAATTCGAAGTCATTGCAGCAAACGTTCAAAAAATGAAAAATAATGGTAGATGATGAGGAAAACAACTACTTTCCTGGAAAATGTAACACAGAATTACATCCTCCAGAAATCTATACATTGATTCATATAAACCACTACCTTGAAAGCTGGTTTAATAATTTGATGTATGAAAGTGTGAGGAATAGTTTTAGGTTGTTTTTTCATGATTTACCGCATTTTGCTATCATATCATTTTTTGATATACATATGGATTCATGCGTACATAACCCCTTCTTCCATTTCCTGACATGTAGATAATGGGCACATATCTCCTTTCATTGCGTCCTAGATGTTTAGTGTAACATAGCCCCTTCTGCCACTGTGTATCTACTCAGATATGAAGAATAGAAACACAAATCCTGACAGGGCAAGTTACATATGCACGTAATACCTTCTTCCATGACATAACCGAATATTTTCAGAAAATGTTACTTGCCCCTTCAACTATGACAGACGTATTCTAAAATACCAAAGCACCTGGTAAGAGACAACAGTAACCTAGTGGTGTTATTTGGGCAAGATTGAATGTGGATCTCCTATAAAATCGTGTATGAATTCGAATTCAATACAGCAAACGTTCAAATAATGAAGAATAATAGGAGATAATGAGAGGACTACTTTCCTGGAAAATGTCACACAGAACATTGAATTACATGCTCCAGAAATCTATGCATTGATTCATATAAACCAAGACCCTGTATGAACAGTCAAGCTATATATGTGATTGTCAGTAGCATATCTAACTTGTTACTACGTGAATCTCCTATAAAATCGTGCATTAGGAGACAGTGGACTCGAAAAAAAAATTGGTAGAAAAATGTGAATTCATCATTTAGCAAATAAGTGAGAAGCGAAAATTTGAAGTCAAACGTACAAAATATGAAAAAATAATGGTAGATGACGAGAGGAAAACAACTACTTTGCTGGAAAATGTTACACATAACATTAAATTACATCCTCTAGAAATCTATGCATTGTTCCTACAAACCAATACCTTTCTTAGAGAGTTTTTGCTTCTCATCAACATTCCATAATGGGCGTGTACACCTTAGTAGAACTTTTAACTCAAACCATGTTTATAATGATCCTTTTATACATAAATAATGATTGACGACATCATTCGATCGAAAAATTAACTGGAATGTTTTATTTTTGGACATAAATGATAGTACCTTCTGAAAACGGAGACCCTCTTATGACGTAGAAACCCCATCTCGCCATATATATATATAAACCATATATATCTACTACTGATATATGAATCATAGCTCTCCTCAAAGCGGGACCCATTTCTGTCTCTATAGGTAATGAAATCGACCAATAGGCGTTGATACCGACGTAGGGAAAAAATAATAGGAAATTTGTCAAACCAATATAGCAGTTTCCATCCTTCACTTTTCGTTCTCATAGATTCAAAGAGTACCTCTCATTTTGGTCCCATTTTTGTTGAGATGTGGTATAGGCGATGCGCCATATATAGAAATAGTAGATATATGGTTGAAACTGACACTCTCCTGACACTTATTACTGTTGCCATATCATCCAAACAAAATATCCGAGAAATCGAAATCGATATTGAAATATCTTTTGATATCCACTACCACTACTGCAGAAAAATATATTCGAGTTGTCGATTGTAGGTTGAATCATTGGAGTATAAACAATCTCTAGACAACGAAATGTCTCAATCTCAAAACCATTTGCACCATTACAATTTCACAATAATCCAATATATTTCATAAACATAGCAACATTGCTTTGTTGACCCGTTTCACATGGAGCTGCAAAAAGTCAATCTAGGTTAGAATTGATTTGTCAGAAATCATGTATCATTCATCTCTGTCTGGAATAGTCTTGTTTCAGTATTAGGGTTTTGACGTCACATCATCGCCTCGTTTTCAGAGGTCCGGAAAATCGGGGATTTCAATAATTTTTTATAAAACGTAGGGAGCTCACAGCAAGAAACGGTTTACGGTGGTGAGCTAGTTTGGGTGAGTTCTATCGAATTATGAAATAAATTTTTTTTGTGATATAAGCCCATTCACTCACCAAATTATCGTACCCCGACCTGTCCCTCACCAGCCGCTGCACCTGATTGCTCAGCTGGTTGTTGATAGTGAACGTCACATTCCCATTGGAGCCGGGCACGAAGTTGGCGACGAGCGAGGCGGCCTGCTGCTGCGGCGGCGGCGCCGCGGCCGGCTGGTGGTTGGCGGCGGCGCCGTTGAAGTCGCTCCGTCTGCACACCTCCATCATCTGCACGCTGGCCTTCACGTTGTTGCAGTGCGCGTAGTCGACGAGATGGGCGAGTCGGACGAAAGCGTGGTTGAGGGCTTCGCCGGGGGTGGTGCGACGTTCCTGGAAAAAAGATCGGGCAGGTTAGGAATAGCAGTTTGTTAGAATCATTGTCTGCTGAATATAGAGAAAAAATCTAGTGAGGTGTAGTATCTGGCAGTGGCGGCTCGTGACTTTCATGACAGAGGAGGCTGAATGATATGAGATTTATTGTGAAAAACAACTCTCTACTCAGCCAAATCCATAGTTTTAATGACATTCTGTTTACCAGTTAACCTGGACTTAATACTTGAAGAGATGTGTTCCTGTGATTTGCAGTGTCTATCCAATCCGCGAGGCAAATTTTTCAAATCATTATATCCTAATCGCCCCCAACATGATGACTTATCGGTTGAAAATAATACGCAGTAGTATGAACAAAATAGTAAGTAAGCTCAGATCCCGTCAACCAGATATATTTTTTATAATTATTATCAGAATCAGATTATTTAATTCCGGTGTCGGACGTTTGTTTTTCACAATCCATTTATCTTTATAAGAAAAAGCACTGAATGGGTTCTCAAAAAGTATTTCACTAAATCGAAATCGTTTAAAACACTCATTTTTTCGGAAATTTATAGAGCCCCGAACACCTAACATAAACAATGCACTCGCGATGGATTTTCCGCAATTCGCGACGCGACACGACAAACACGTGCTATTCGGGCATTTGCATTGCGCGCGTGGGTTGCGCAATGAGAAGGAGTCTAGCCTCCTATAGATGTTGCCAAGTTGAATATTTTACGCGTGATTTGCAGACTTCAACGCGTGTTGCGTGGGCAAACACTGTTGCCAATTCAAAAATATTTACCTAAAAACAGGAAGTAAAATCAAAATTCATGTATTTTGGTGTCCTTTTAATGAGAAAGTATAGATAATATCAGTTTAAGGAAAATCTCTGAGGAGCCGCCACTGGTATCGGGTCTGCTCAAACAAGAAAAATCACCTACAGGTTTCTGTGGCCGATACAGTAATGTCGCCATACGGTCAACTCGAGGAAACACTTATTGCAATTGTTTTCCTGTCAAACCTACATAACCTTGAAAATCGTAAACGAGTTGAGAAGCTCCCTCAGCGGTGCTCTTTGCAGTCTCGGACCTCGGCGCAGTTGGTTCACTGAGTTTGAGTTCAGTAACACGACGTAGTAACTCAGTAACACAAAATGGTTGCTACATACACTACAATAGTCATCAATTTCATAACGTTCAACACCTAAATTAAATGAGAGGTAGAATCAGTAGTATCGATTATTAGCTCTTGATCAGGGCTCTGATTATCTTACTTGTAATGCGCCTGTAACACTCAATATTGAATGTATCCACTTAAAAAATTATCAATACTGAGAGCACAACACAGAACCATATCTATAAACGAAAGGAATATTAGAACAATGAGAATTGAAGAAGAAAGATTTTTTTAGGAACAAATACAATACAAGTCACGATGGCATGACAGCTATTGACACTGACAACTTACATAACCACAAATTTCGAAAGTTTTATATTTCTAGAAAAAAGTGAAGATCATTTCGTCCGATACGGTAACATCCTCTGGTGGTCATACACTCAGCACACTAGATTTTTTCTCCACATTTAGCAGACAATGGTTAGAATACTTCATTTAACCACATTACGTACACTGAACAGGGTGGGCCAAATTGGTCACTTTTAAAGGGAAAGTCCTATTCTAAACTGATGTCGGTGACTGAGGGTCGATTCTCATACAAAACTCTATGATGAAAACCGCATATCGATATCTGTCTTCGTCCTCGGAGTTAGAAGGTTTTCTTCGAAAATAGGCATTTTTGAAAGTGGCTACAAATATTTTTTTGGCAAAAATTGTATGTTCTCATTAAAATAACTGCAAAGCTTTGAGTTTGTGATAACAGTCATATTCATGAGGCGCTGAAATCGGCCTTCCTATATCTTGTTCAGGAATATAACTTGTTCTTCTTGAAGGAAAAGTTCTATTTTGAAACTAGGTATATGGTGACTGATTTCAGTGCCAGGGATGCACCGGAACCGGAATTCCGGCAACATTCGCTACCTGGTCCATGGTGAGCATCCGCTTCATCAGTGCTATGAGCAAATGACACCAAAATCACGTGACTTTCACACTGCAAACAACACCACACCATCTCGCCTGACACCGTGATTTCCGAACTCACCTCATATATCATTTTTGAAGGGAATAAATAAGGAATTTATTGAGCTTATAAATACAGGGTGTTCCATTCAAAAAATCATAAGTTTGAGTCGTATCTCCATAACCATACCATCGCTTCAATTGAATACCGGAAATAATTGAAGTGAGAAAAAATATCGGGCAAAACATTCGCTACCTGGTCCATGGTGAGCATCCGCTTCAACAGATCGATGAACTCCTTCCTGTCCACCTTCTCGGCCAGCAGCTGCCCCCCCTCCAGATCGGTGGGCACGTTCACCTGCCCGATGTCGTCCAGACAGTTGAAGATGTACTTCCTGGCCTCCTTCGATTTGATGCCCGTCTCCGCCTCGTGCTCCTCGGGCGTCTTCAGCCGCCAGAAGGGGTAGGTGCTGTCCATGTCGCGGTAGAAGAATTTGGTGGTTTTCGAGGCGTTGTTGAGCATGTGCTCGGTCGGCAGGCCTTGCGTTTGGCTTATGTATCTGCGAGAAGACGATCGATTTAGATACATGATGTAAGAAAGCTACTTTGAATAGGTTGTAATCGTTCTTCAAAAATCAAATGAAATCAAAATTGCCCGCTTGAAGATAGAGAATTCAAAAAAATCAGTGGCGCACATTTTATTGACAATAATGTTTGGTAGGTTGCCCCCCGGGATGCCACTGGATTTCATAATTGTAATTAAATTGTGACCACATATGACAAAAAATATCATTGCCAAATTTCTAGAAAATCGGTGGGAGGCCATTTTAGATATTCATAAAAAACCGATGTTTTTTAAAAGTGTTAACACACTGTATGTTGAAAACTATGCATTTCCGGACCAACGTACATATAAAATGAATTTCTTATATTTTCATGTAGAATCACCCCCTTGATTTTTTGCGCATAATTTCCGGACACCCTGTATATCGAGCGCTTGGTAGTACGACAACGCTCGGACTACCGTACACACGATTAGCTGAATTATTTCTGATACAGGGTGTCCCGAAATTACATAGAAAGATTTCAACCACAGATTCTAGGAACAAATATAGTAAAAATAAGTTCATACAAACATGAGCCCAGAAATGGCCCTAATTAATGTTTTTTTGTAAATATTTCCGGAACCCTATTTGTTAACATAACGGAATTTTGTACATGTAGATTACGTTTCATGCCCGATTCGGAAATGTTGATCATGGACGTGGGAAATATGTAGGGCTAGGGGCATTTCTTTCCACAACTTTTTTTTCTATGCAATTTTCGGCAGTTTGGCCAGAAAATATGAAAATATCATTTTTACTCAAAAATCACTCTTCTTTAGTTTCGATAGCGAGATAAATCGATTTTAAAAGTCTGCTGCCTAATAAAAATAGTACTTCTGAAGTAATTCATCAGACATAACCTTGAAATACCAGAGAATTTCCGACATATATTCGTTTTGATTTCTGTAACCAGTAATCCAGGCTAAATCCAGGGTTTGTATTAAAAGCCTACATTCTCTTGGCTCCTGATGCAGGTCTGATCAATAAATAGGATCCCTGGTTTACTGTAGGCACAGAAGTAAGTCCCTGCTGTCCCTTTCTTCACTGTTTGCTACCCAGGCCTCCTCACAAACTCACTTTGTCGGAGCAGGTGAAGTAAATCACCTTTATCAAAAATCTGGCGCCCGAGATATCCGAAACCAGTAGTCTCTGTCTGAAACGCGTCAAAGTCCCAAAGCCTTTCCCTTGACTATAGCCCTCACAATGAAAAAAATGGCACTTACCTGATCTGATCGTACTCGGACGAGCCGGGATACAGTGGCCACCCCAAAAACAATTCGGCGACGACGCATCCCAGCGACCACATGTCGATGGCCTCGCAAAACGGCAGGCCGAGGATGATCTCGGGCGCTCTGTAGTACCTACAATAGAAGTTTATTATGAGCGATAGACAGGAATACTTGGGTACCATTCGTCAAGATAAAATTAGAGCTAAAATACATCCATACCGGTTGACAACAAAATCATTGGACAGAGCGTCATTCAGTTGTTTTATGTCAGACTTTTGACATCTGCATCGAAGATTTATGGTTCTTCAAAACAAGTATTTTCCAGCATGAAAAACAACTGAATGGTGCCCTGTCCAATCATTTAGTTGTCACTCGGTATAGTAATGATAATGAATACTCTCAAATAATGAGTTTTACAAAATTCAAAACGAAACAGGATCAAAGAACTCACTAAGCAAATGAAACCCTTGATCATTTATACCAACAAGATGAACCATCCTTATGAGCAATAAAGCCAGAAATGTTATTCAGTAGGTGGCAGTATCTATGAACGACAAGGTGAACTTCTTTTTGTTGAGTAGAGAAGGGTAGAGATCAGTAATGCCGAATATATTCAAAGCTTATTTCTCGATGTTTATGCAACAGTGGATAGCAATCGCCTAATACAATAAAATTCTTGAGAATCCATATTGACAGCAAGTTAACTTGGACTCACCACAATGAATATTTATGTAAAAGAGTGTGCTCACTTAACTACCTCATTAGACAACTGAAAATAACAGTATCGATGGATGTGCTATATCTAATGAATAATGGATTATTCCAATCATTGATATCATATGGTATCATACATTGGGGATCAGCAGCCGACACTGGGAAACTGTTTATTATCCAAAAAAAAGTTATAAGACAAATATCAGGTGTAAACCATAAACATCCTTGTAAATAATTGTTTATTAAGCATAATATCCTTACTCTACCAAGTCTCTTTATTTACATGCTTCCTATCCATACCAAAAATAAAGTTTTCTCCTTAGCAAAGAGATCAAACATACACGAACACAACACTAGAAACAAGAACCAAATTTCATCTCAATTTAGCCGTCTCACAGTTGGGCAGCAAACCTGTGATTATATGGGAGTCAAAGTATCTAACATACTCCCAGAAAGCATAAAAAAAATAAAAACATACAATTTTAAAATGAAGAAAATCCTCCAAAAGAAAGCCAACTATTCCATAGAGGATTACCTCAATGACCAAGTCCAGTAGTGAAAATTAGACAGGGATGTAAATGATCTCAAAAGGAATGATTCCAATTTTAATTTTAATGTGCTTGATCAACTGCTCAGATAAATTTTAGCTGTTCGTCTTTCTTTATGTTTGTTTGTTATATATATCAATATATTAGGAATTATGACAAGTATCATTGTACTGCATACTTTTGGCATTATCCAATATGTTTATTGTATCCTGTACCTGATACGAAATAAATGAATCTGAAATCTATGCAAAAAGGGATGTCAGGGCCGGATCAAAACATAAATTAATGAATCTTGAATCTTATTATTTAAAAGCCTTCAGAATATCAAAGTTAGTGATTGTCCTGCTTCCAAATAAGGATATTCCTAGATAGTTCAGTAACTTGCAGATAAATGGACTCGGGCATACATAAATCTGACATATTTTGCCGAGTTTCGGTAGCGCCGCCTATAAACTAGCCAAGAGCTAAGGCCAAATATGGCATCAACATTTCACATGGGGGTAGATCATCTTGATAGATAGTGAATAATCAAGGGTAAAACATATTTTTAGTCAGGAGAGCATTCAGGCTATTACTAAATTTGCGTTAGCGGTACAATTCCAACACCTTCTGGCAAATTGTTACAAATGTTGATAGTACCTCGACTGCAGGTACGTGTTGCACACCGCCTTGCTGACGTGGCTGGCGGAGCCGAAGTCGATGACCTTGACGCGGTACGGCTGCCGCACAGGATCGACCAGCATGATGTTCTCCGGCTTGAGATCGGCGTGGATGAGGCCTAATTGCTGGAAGGAAAAGCGAGCAGCGTGGTTGTAATGGACCTTTATTCACAACCATATTTGTAATGTAATGTAATGAAGGTTGGGAAGTTGTTATATATTTATTCAATAATATATCAATTAGAAGATTGATGATTTATTTCTGACATACAGTTGCTTGTCATACATGACATGTCCCACGTTTATCAATATATACATACAGGAAGATACATAACACTCTCCCCTTCCTTATAATATCAAACACACTAATTTAAATGATCACCATCCTAAACGTTCTGGTGCTTTCCGAATACGATCCGATCTTCTTAGAACGGGAGATGATCTCTTGGCCGCATCTGTAATTTCAGGTATTAATTCCCTATCAGTTGTAGATGGTTTCGACACCGGCGATTCTGTGGACATAAGTGTTGTTCTTGATGATGATATTCTTTCTGGAGATATTTTTCTTCGAGATGAAGTTCTTATGTCAGTTGAACTGGAGGGATAGGCTGAACTAGATGTTTCTTCTACAGGAACGGATTGTTGATCTTCTCCAACTTCAGAAGTAGACGATTGATTCTGTGAACGTTCAGGTGGATGTTGAACTTCTTGATATTGTGGTGATTCATCAAGAACTTTTCTTCCATATTGTCGGCGGCCAAGAGATCTCCCGTTTTAAGAAGATCGAATCGAAAGTACCAGAACGTTTAGGATGGCGATCATTTAAATTATTGTGTTTGATATTATAAGGAAGGGGAGAGTGTTATGTATCTTCCTGCCTCCCTTACGAGCAACCCTCAGAAGTCTTCGGAGAGTCTTGTGCGAGCAAGGAATGACGGGGGCCTTACCTTTTAACGTGTGATCCCAAACACTTTCTTGGGCCATCAGAAAAATTTCTGCAATCGCTGGGAATTGAACCCACGACCGGCAAGCGAACGCGGATTAGAATACTGACACTCTGTCCGCAAGGCTCTCTGGCCCCCATATGCGGCAATAATTTCTAGTTACGGACCTTGTTGTCTCCTTGACATTCGTTTTTGGATCAAGTTGCTAGCTATCATAGAACTCGAGCAATCGAGCTCCGATGCACTAATCCCACCCTGTGTATGTAGGGAAGGAAAATACGTAAAGCCTTCGTCTGCGATAAGCATATTATCCTTGTTTGGCAAAACATATGATCTGTTTCAAAATTAACTGTGGTTATGGTGGTTGTTGCAGTTGTTGGGATCAAGATTCTTATTATTAAGTGATGTTGATATGCTGCCAGCGAATTTTACAGATCGTGTCAAGAATTTAATGAGGAATTATTTCCAATAATTTATTCTTTACGCCTACAAACCAAACAGCTGTTAGCGATTGTTCAGTATTTTTTCTGTACTTTCCTCGGAAAAACATTCATTAAATGGTATTTAATTTCCAAAAATAGCGCTTACAAGTGTGCCAAAAAGTGCATTTGTGTTTGCCTGGAACGAAAATAGCATGGATAATATTTTCTTAGGTGGAAACATTTTCTGTAATTTTACGGTCCGAATACAGAACATCTTGAAATAATTAATCAGACTAATCAACTATGTTTATATTGTGTTTAAGCATCTAAAGATATTGACCTGAACTTATACAATAAAGAACGAAAAGACTGCTAATTATGTGACCGACTGTTCTAGATGTAGTATTTTACTTGCATACATTCCGTTCTCAATATGAACAATAATAATGATGTTGATATCAGTGCTGCTTATTCAACATTACATTATCTCCTTGTTATCGTTTTTGAAGACAATGAGTTCATTAGTGATATCACAAATCTTGCTCAAATCATAACATTGTTTTGGACAAGCACTATTAAATTTATCTATTAAAAAATTCTTCATGGTTTTATTACAAACTGTGGATGAGGCAAGACATGAAATTTAATTTATTATTGACGTCACAACAATATATCATTGGGTAATTATTGTGTGATGATTTGCACAAGATATATTTGTGAATTTTAAGTAACTGTTTGGATATTAGCCAATAAAATGTGAAATATTTACAAGAATCAAGCATTTTCTGAAGAAGAAAAAAATACGCATTATTTTATCAATTCAGAAATTGTCACACAAGATTTCAAGAAACTTAGTGGCGCAACTTTTCCAGTTTTTGATCTTATAGTAATATAAAGATAACAAATAAGCCAAATAATGGTTACGCAACACCTGTAATAAAAACTTAGTTTTAATCATACACAAAGATGACAAATAGCAATACCATAAAATTCCAGATAGATAGATAGATAAATATACTTTATTGTCGAAGAAAATAATTTCTTATTGACAAAGCTTGAAGCACAATATACTCTTAAAAAAATATGAAAAAAAATTAAAATCAAAACATAAATACACAATATACCAATATGAGGTGTTCCAGAATAACTACTGATTATTAAAAATGTGGGGTTTGATTTGTATCTCAATCCCACCATTTCGCACACCTCTATATACAGGGTGTTTCATAAAATATGCGCAAGACCTCAGGATATGATAGTTCGTCGGCTCGTCCAAAAATATGAAAAATATAAAAAAAAGTTAGCATCAACTCACCCTCTAAAATGCACCATTTTCGAAGTACAGGGTGTTGAAATTTGAAAAAAAAATCGTTTTTTGCGAATATATCTGGAACCATTGATCGCACAAAAAATAGCTTATGTAAACATTTTCTACTCATAAAAAGCTATGTTTTGTATTGAATTGCTTTTTTTTCTTCAAGTCATAATTGGTGAATATTTTGAAGAGGTAGTATAAGTACATTTCTTAGCCGCCCATTTGAATCGTCAATATTTTCTTCACAAAAAAGGTGCACTTGGTCATAAGCTGTAAAGTCGATCGTTTTCGAAAAAAAAAAAAACAACTACTAAGTTGGAAACCTTGGTAAATTTTTTGAAACATATTCTTTTTGATGCGTGCATTGAAGCTAACGGCGGACATTTCCAACAACTAATTAAACTGAGTATGGTTTGTTATTGTGTTTTAAGACAACGTTTGGTTGTGTTACTTGTTTAAATAAATTTTTGTTTAGCTAGTAAAATAAAATTTATTTTAATTAATTACCATGTTCTTTATCTCAAAAGTAGATTTTCCTCGAAAACGAAAATTTTAGAGCTTGATACCAAAAGTGATTTTTTTATAGAAAACATTGGCGGTTCAAATGGGTGGCTCCTAACCCTAACTGTCATTTTTCTAGAGGCGTAGAAGTTGGGGAGAAAAACACCCACTATCCCTTCAAAATCTTCACCAAATATGACTTAAAAAAATAAATTCCGTACAAAACCTAGCTTAGTACGATTAGAAAATCCTAACAAAAAGGCTCTGTGCGATAAACGGCTCCAAAGATAGTCGCAAAAAATGTTTTTTTTTCAACTTTCAATACCCTGAATCTCGAAAATAGTGAATTTTAGAGGGGAAATTGATAACATTTTCATATTTTTGGACGAGCTATCGCATCCTGAAGTTCAGCGCATATATTATGAAACACCACTATTCATATCTGAGAAGATTTCATATTTCAGGAACTGCAATGAAATCCCGAAATATACGATCGTTTCATAAATAAAAACAGCTCAGGGCCAAACAATGATCCTTGGGGAACATCGCAAAGCTTTCATGAGTTCATTCAAGTGCACCTTAAAACATCGCCAGCAAATCACCATCACATAATCAAAGGCTATACTTATACAACAGAACTGGCTAAAGTGAAAAATAAATAAATAATAGTATATTACACACCGAGGTGGGAAGTGATTCATTCTTGTCGTGAGACTAGTTAACCGAGACGCAAACCGTGATTATTCAAAAACAAGTTATCCAATCCTTTCCAGATCAATACAAATATACTTGACTATCATAACAGTGCTGTTTAATCTTGATGACCTAGTACATCCTTTTTGGTTCCTAGGAGCTTAAGTTTAACTTTAGCTCATAGAAACTAAAAGTGTTGCCTAGCAAGATACCTATGTTTGTGACAGTAATATAAAAGTCAATTCATGAGATAATTTTGGTATAAAAATGGACGACTTTTGTGTCTCGTTGCAGAAAAAACATCTTATTCAACTCGGCATAAATAGCAATTGTCAGAAATTCACTACTAATGATTATTATGAACTAATTAAAAATATGAATTATTTAAAGATGAACGTGGCGGCACCGCAAAGTTTCGGAGTAGACGAGCAATAATAGCTGTAAGAAAAGTAATTTATTGTTTTTGTTGGTATTAATGGTTTTTCGGCTGATGTTTGTTATTAGTTTTCGGTGTATCAATCAATAACTCATATAGGATTATAGATCTAAAGCAAACTATTTTGTGAATAAATATGGTTCGTCCCAGGGTGCAACCAATTTCTGAGAGACTAAAAAAGCTAACCTTGAAGTTTTCCAAAAACGAATCCAATCTCCAAATTATCCAGTTCCAGTGTTTACAGAGAGATCCAACAGTGAACCCAAGGAAAACACACTATTGGAATGCTTAATCAATTCAGACGAAATTCCTTCAAAATTCTTGCCTCACAAAAAACTTTTCTTTTTTACACTAGCAAATTTAATAATTTCATATATCTTGTACATACCATAATGATGAAGGACCTCGGTCGGTGGCCTTTTGGTTATCCAATAAAGCTCCTCAATTATAATTATTATTATGGTTCGTCAGTGTCAAATCTGTAGAGAGTAGTTACAAATATCTTGACCTGATATTTCACAGGTACGTAAAAAATACAGGGCGGTATTGTTTGAGGGCTTGCTCACCTAGACGTTAGAAAATGACGTATAAATATCGTGACAGTTGATTTAGTGATACAAAGTTACACCCACCATTCGCAATTTCAATCATTTATCCGCGTTTGGCGTATACTTTTGAATGATTCTATGAATATATTTATAAAGAATATCCATTACCTGACAATGATTACGCAGAGTTATCCCCACCATTCACGATTTCAGTTGGCGTATACATTTCAATGATTTAGGGATGAATCGCGGTTTCTATTCGAGACTTGACTCACCTTAAGTTTGAGCAACGCGGTCAACACCTGCTGCAAGATGGGCCTGATGTACTTGAGCGGCAGCGGGCTGAACTTGTTCTGCTTGAGAAAATCATAGAGATTCTGCTCGAGCATTTCAAACACCAGACACGTGTGGTTCTTGTGCTGGAAGCACTCGTACGCCCTGACGAAGTTGAACTCGTCGGCATTCTCTTGGCTAAGTCGAGACAGGATGCTGACCTCGATTTGGCCCTACGGACAAGCGGTTTGAGATGAAGCGTATGTGGGTCAAACGCGAAGCGAAATGCTTACGCGTGTCACAGAACACATACGTGGGTTATTCGTGAAACGGGCAAGCGTGTGTCACAGAACTAGGGTTTTCAAATTTTTCGAGATCCCATTTCAAAATCTCAGAATACAAAACCTAGATCCTGGGATTAACCCCAATATCTTCTTAATTTCAACACTAGCAACAGCAGTAACAAAAATCCAGGAATACAAACAAAATAACACTCCAATTAAAATATGAAAAAATAAGAAATCTTTTTTTACAATTGAGAAGAAAAATTTCACACTTGGGGTCTAGCGATAATGATTACAGAGATAAAGGGTGTTCAGAAGGACTCAATCGGTAGCCCCTGTGTACAAATTTTCACATTTGTTTCATTTTCAGAACTCCGAATACGTCTATTGTGCGGTTTAGATGGAACAGCCTGTATATTACATATGTAAATAACTGGGGTCAAGTTGAATACAAACGGATGAAGCAGATTCCAATTTTATCATTTGCAAAATGAATTCGGAATCCCGATTCATCAATTCTGGAATTTCCGGAAGGAAAAATCTTCCCGGATTGGAAACCCTACACAGAACACACACGTGGGCCAATCATGACGAATTCAATTCTTCTAATGAGTATTGAATTGTCAACATTTTAGTTTGATATGGAGAATAATTGAGTGTAGCTCTTTTATTGAAATTTAGGTTTCATATAATATATCTATAGATCCTCATATCACTTATCATTTATTAGTTTTTAATTTCCATATAATATGAAAATTGTCAAAGACAGACAAAGATATAAGGATCTATACAGGGTGTTAATTGAGTATGTAGCCAACGTTCAGGTGTGATTTTTTGGATAATTCTAAAACAGAAAGTTTATGTAAACATTGGTCTAGCTAGATCTAGAAACACGTGTAAGGATACAAGGTGTCGAACTTTTTTGAAAAGGAAGGAAGGAATTCTGAAATTTCGGAAACAGACCATATACATTGGCCAATCGCGACAAAAACTTCTCACGCGTGTCACAGAACACACCGACCACCCACCTGTCTGGCGTTCGACGGATCGTTCTTCAGTATTTTGATGGCGACTATTTTGTGGGTGCCCTTCTTCCTGCACTTGACCACCTAGTCGAAAATGGTCAAGTGCTGGAAAGAAAGAAAGAAAGAAGAAAGAAGGAAAGTGGGGAAATCGAGCACATTTTTTTGACAGATTTCAGGAAACATACATTGGACAAACGCGACAAAAATACCTCAAGCGTATCAAAGAACACTCATCTGCCGGACTAATGACGGATAGTTCTTCAGTATCTCTATGGCGACTATTCTGTTGCTGCCCTTCTTCCAGCACTTGCCACCAGGCCGAAGGTGATCAAGTGCTGGAAAAAATGAAAGAAGATGTGAAAGAAGGAAAGATGGGAATTCGAGCACGGTTGGCGTCCTGCCGATGATTTTGGACAGATTTCAAGACATAATATATTGGACAAAAGCGACAAAAATACCTCACGCGTATCAAAGAACACTCACCTGCCTGGCATACGACGGATGCTTCTTCTGTATCTTGATGACGACTATATCGTTGGTGCCCTTCTTCCAGCACTTGACCACCAGGCAGAAGGTGATCAAGTGCTGGAAAAAAAGAAAGAAAAGAAGAAGGGAAGTAGGAAATTCGAGCACCTTTGGCGTCCTGCAGGTGATTTTGATAGATTTCAGGACACGTACATTGGACAAACGCGACAAAAATACATCACGCGTATCAAAGAACATTCATCTGCCGGGCGTACGACGGATGGTTTTTCAGTATCTTTATGGCGACTATTCCGTTGGTGCCCTTCTTCCAGCACTTGACCACCAGGCCGAAGGTGATCAAGTGGTGGAAATAAAGAAAGAACATATGAGAGAAAGAAGGAAAGTAGGAAATTCGAGCATACTTGGCGTCCTGCAGGTGATTTTGAGTGATTTCGGGACACATACATTGGACAAACGCGACAAAAATACCTCTCGCGTATCAAAGAACACTCATATGCAGGGCATACGACGGATGGTTCTTCAGTATCTTTATGGCAACTATTCCGTTGGTGCCCTTCTTCCAGCACTTGACCACCAGGCCAAAGGTGATCAAGTGCTGGAAATGAAGAAGGAAAATACGAAAGAAAGAAGGAGAGTAGGGAATTCGAGCACATTTGGCGTCTTGCAGGTGATTTTTACAGATTTCAGGACACATACATTGGACAAACGCGACAAAAATACCTCACACGTATCAAAGAACACTCAACTGCCAGGCGTACTACGGATGCTTCTTCAGTATATTGATAACGACTATTAGGTTGGTGCCCTTCTTCCAGCACTTGACCACCAGGCCAAAGGTGATCAAGTGCTGGGAAGAAATAAATAAAAGAAGAAAGAAAGAAGGAAAGTAGGGAATTCGAGCATATCTGGCGTCCTGCAGGTGATTTTTTACAGATTTCAGGACACATACATTGGACAAACGCGACAAAAATACCTCACGCGTATCAAAGAACACTCACCTGTCGGGCGTACGACGGATGGTTCTTCAGTATCTTGATGGCGACTATTTCGTTGGTGCCCTTCTTCCAGCACTTCACCACCTGGCCGAAGGTGATCAAGTGCTGGAAATGAAGAAGGAAAATACGAAAGAAAGAAGGAGAGTAGGGAATTCGAGCACATTTGGCGTCTTGCAGGTGATTTTGACAGATTTCAGGACACATACATTGGACAAACGCGACAAAAATACCTCACGCGTATCAAAGAACACTCAACTGCCGGGCGTACTACGGATGCTTCTTCAGTATCTTGATTACGACTATTCCGTTGGTGCCCTTCTTCCAGCACTTGACCACCAGGCCGAAGGTGATCAAGTGCTGGGAAGAAAGAAAGAAAAGAAGAAAGAAAGAAGGAAAGTAGGGAATTCGAGCATATCTGGCGTCCTGCAGGTGATATTTTACATATTTCAGGACACATACATTGGACAAACGCGACAAAAATACCTCACGCGTATCAAGGAACACTCACCTGTCGGGCGTACGACGGATGGTTCTTCAGTATCTTGATGGCGACTATTTCGTTGGTGCCCTTCTTCCAGCACTTGACCACCTGGCCGAAGGTGCCTCTGCCGAGGAACTCGAGCACCTCGTACTGATTGGTCATCGAGTAGAGCACCTCGTGCTGCACCAGCTGGTAGTCGCCGTCGGCGCCCGAGCCGGAACCTGCAAGAAGAGGATAAGCGACCCTAGTTTGGATACGTGGCGACCGTCATCAGTCTTTTTCTCTTTATTTACGCACCAATAGAATGAGACATTCGATTAAGGTACTAAGTACTAAGTATTACAATCACAAAAAAGTTGGACATTAAAATGAGAAATATACATATCAAATCAAAAAACTACAAAATATTCATATGTAATGTAATAGTAGCTTAAGATCTTCTGTTAGTTCTAGTATTTGTATTTAGAATTGTTGACACTATTGTCAGTTGTCAGAGCGAGAACCCAAGTTGTTCGACAAAGGTTTGAGGATTAATACTTCCAGGCGAGAGTAGGAAGACCGAGATGCTAAATAATTTGAGGAAATTTTGTGTAAATGTTTTTTTTGAGGTATTTGACGACAACAGTGACGAAAATGATTTTGTCGCTGTAACTCTTCAAACAATCCAAACTATGGAAGATTATTAGAACATCGTATGTTGTAACAAAAGTTCTATTGACCTATCCTCAAGAATAGACAGTTTTCCTGATATTGACCTCTAAATAACATTTTGGAGTATCTAAAAATGGATGAACTGATCAAGAGTTTCAATAGACATGAACACTAATTTCTAGAACAAATATTATGACGTTCATGATCAGAAATAAAGAGACAGAGAATTTCTCGAAATAAATTCCGAGGAAATGGTCTAGTTAGAACACGACGGAAAATCGTCAGCGGTACTATAAGGCGCTACTGATTATTCAGCTTGTTGGGATATTTTAACATTCATCACTCTAGAGCTGAATTCAACAATCTAATGGATGAACTGAGCATTTTCTATTTGGTGTCTTTAATGAACTCATTATGACACCTAAATTCGTATCGAGACAGCTTCTATTAGGACACGCTACTTATATTTCTTTTTCCATAGTTGGTAATGATAACGTCAAACCGAGGGGTAAATCTCCTTGGAAGTCTGGTGTACACTTCGTTGGAAGTCTTTGGAATTCTTTGGAAGTCTTTGGATGTTTTTGGATGTCTTTGGAAGTCTTTGGATGTCTTTGGATGTCTTTGGAAGTCTTTGGATGTCTTTGGATGTCTTTGGATGTCTTTGGAAGTCTTTAGAAGTCTTTGGGAGTCTTTGGAAGTCTTTGGGAGTCTTTGGAAGTCTTTGGAAGTCTTTGGAAGTCTTTGGAAGTCTTTGGTAATTGGAAGTCTGGTGTACACATTTTTCCTGGAGATTTACCCCTCGCGTCAAACTGTCAGACACTAGCGCCTAGAGACAGGACGCAAGAAATAATCAAATAATCCATGAAGAGAAAATAACCTCGACAAAGAACGACAATAAAAATTTGATATAATAATATTATTGAACTGCAGAACGATGTTTCAATGAATGTTTCACATATTATATTTTATGACCATAATAATTAGGGATCGACCGATACCGATATTTATATCGACCTATCGGTGATATCGGCCTCAGATCGACTTGAAAATTGAGAAATGTTTACTTGATATTTCCTTAAAATGAAATAGCTGGCAACACAGCGAAAAGGATTATGACGCCAGCACTAGATAATCGAGTTTGCCGCTATGTTTGAACCACGATTGAACATTACATGAAATTATAGATTAGGTATTCAAATGATGTTTTTTGAAGACATATTTTTATTTCATAAAAAAATGTATTTGTTATGTTACTATTATATTCCAGTTATACGCAAAGTTGAATTGAATTCACGTATTTGTGTTCTTGCCTATTGACCTAACCTCCAAAAATGGAAAGCTTTGCTAATAAATAACTTCGAACATAAATAAAAAAAAAAACTGAAAATGGCTATACTTTTGGTATGATTTAGATGTTGATGGACTGATCATAAGTTTCAATTGACCTAACCTCCAAAATGTATGTTTCCACGCAAAACGATCTTATGACTTGAAATAGTGGGAATAGAATTCGTCCAAGAAATCTGATTGTTAATTCATTTCTGAATAGTTATGGCCACAAAGTATGGTGGGAGATACTAGTACATCTATTTTTATCGGAATTTCGCAAGTAGGCTTTGGCGCAATAAGAAAAACAGTCGTCTATGGCGCCAAAAAATGTTATTTTGTACTCAGAACACAATGGAACACATTAGAAATTAGCTCCCAGATGAAAATAATGAGTCATTAAATTTAATGATCCATTTTTTCATGTATCTTTTTTATAGACAAAATTGACAAGATTTTGTACGGAAAAAAGACCTAACCCAGTTATGATATATTAGCATTGATACCAATACCACACTTATAGAGCAAAATATATTATGTTCTCATGGAATGAGGTTGTGGAAATTGAATGATAACCAATAGTTCATGGTCCATCATTAATTTTTTTCTGAAAAACGAAAATTAAGATAAGATTGTAGAATCTAGATTGATTCATCTGGTTTTCTCTAGTATTTTTTGCTCATTCAATTGATGATAATTATACCAATTACCAATATCAAAAATACTGATACCCGTCGTGCGGTGAAAGGAATTATAAAAAGTTTTTTTTTTTAGGTGGGGGGCATATTTTTTATGAAAATATGAACACTAATTTTCATAATTAACATAAAAAATGGATAAACGTCTTCACTCCAACTATTATTAGAGCTTGAGAACTAAAAGGCGATAAAAGTACATAAAATATAATCATTAAATGAAAAGATGAAAGGAAGGAGCATTTCTTTGAGGTTATGTGCCTGTTATTGGTTTTTCCTAATGTTATTTTGATTTAACTGTATTCAGATGACAATTGGAAAGTGAATGTTAACAGCGTCAGTCTGTCAAGATTGTTTAACGGCCGGCGGCTGTTAACTGTTCCATAAATAACAACATGATGTTGGGATTTTTCTGTAGAATTACGAGTTATGTGGTTTGTTCTCTTCTCGGAATCAAAACGTAATCTTTCAGCGGGATTAGGAAAAGTCTTGAACGACACACGGCCGATACTCGAATACTGGAGTCGGTTGTTCTAATCCTCGGCTGCGCCTAGGATTACAATGTTCAAGCTCATCCGCTTTTTGCTACATATCGGCCTTGTAAGGTTGATAACTATAGATGTGAATCGACAAAAATATTTACACAAGAAAAGAAAATTCTAATGATTTTTTTTTTCGTCGACCTCTATCAAAAATCACATTTTACGTTTTAATTTCCGAACGAAAAACCGACTATTTCCGATGGCAAGTACTTTTCGTCCGTGATATTTCGGCACGGTCTGATAAAATTAATTTTACAAAATAAGTAATAAATTTAGATTTACAATGATATGTATAAACCCAAAAAAGGACAATACTTCATCTGATAATGTTTGTTTTGTTTGTTTCTATTTTGTTGAAAATATGTTACTTTTCTGTTTACTAGCAGTACATGATGTTTTGACGTTGTTTATTTCATTATCCCTTCTTGGAATTTGTATAGCATAAAACAAGGTATTTACTGATGAAATAAAAATCGAACTGGCAACCCTGGTCCGCGCGGAGAGTGAGTTGACAACAACTTTAATTTGCTGTTGTCAAATTATTCACGAAATCCGATAGATTCCACGTCTGAATAGGACCGTCATATGGATATAAGTGTTTGAGGTCGACGAAATCATTTAATATGCACCTCGGCGAAAAACTGTCAATAATTGTCTCGCCGGATTGCTAGCCTCGGCTTGCAGACTCGACTATAATATACAGTTTTTCGTCCTTGGTACATAAATTACTATTACAGTTTGAAAATGTATCCCTTGGGACTTGTCCGAAAGAATAGACAATCCTAATGATATTTTTTTCATCAGAAAACGAGTGGCTTGGTATTTTTGCGGACATTTCGAATCGTCATAATCTAACAAACAAATGAACCGATTACATTCACTACTTCTGAACAGGACAAGGCAAGGCAGGAGGCAGGATAGAACAGTGTAGGACGGAACAGGATATAGAAGAGATAGGAGAAAGGGGACAGGAAATCGGAGAGAAAGAGAAAGAGAGAGAGGACGGAAGACAGGAAACAGGAGGAATAGAAAAACAGGAAATAAAAGACAAGATACGGGACAGTAGACAAGAGATGAAACGGGAATCATGAAATAGGAGAAATGAAGTACAGGATACAAAAAACAGGAGAAAAAATAAGGAGACAGGAGAAAAAATAAAGGAGACAAGAGAAAAAATAAGGAGACAGGAGACAGAAAAAAAAACAAGAGACAGGAAAAAGGAGCCAGGAAATAAGATAAGAAAAGAAGAAACGCGAGAGGAGACAGGACTGAAATCAATGATTGTGAATCTAACATACTACATGTAAACAAAGGAGTTCCACAAGGATCAGTGTTGGGCCCAATTCTGTATCTTTTATGCATTCAAAACATTTCAAAAATCGATTTAATAGGAAACTATGCCATATATGCAGATGACACAGAACATTTATTTGAAAACAAAAACCCTGTAATTTTAGAAAACAACATAAATAAGGATTTGAAAGATCTGCCTACACCAAATACCTTGGTACCCTGGGATTGGCATGGTCAAAGAACAAATTTCCCCCTTAGTTGGTGCCTTAAGAAGACACCCCATCAAGTCAAATTTATGAAGAAACAAATACATTTTCTTTGGAAGAGCACTATCTGATAAATACTCTCAAAATTTCTCTTGATATTATCAACTAACACCTCAAATCCAACTTCAATTGGTAAGGAATTCTCAAATCCATGAACATCATACTAGACAATATGACTTGTTCCATCATGATGCTGCTAATTCTACACTTGGTCAAAAAAACTTCACTCACGGACCTACCTCAAAATTCAATGAATTACCTGATGATATCAAAAGTTGCACAAATATCACCCAATTCAAAATCAAGAAACATATCCTCTTGCAAAGAGAAAATCAAACCTGAGTGAATGATTTCTCATTCACTAATTTATTTCATCATGTCATAATGTACTTTTCATGAGCTTTTTGTTTTATTATTTTTTTTATTCTGTTGTTTATTTCAATAACTATAATTCAATTTGATAACGCATGAATAATTTCACTCATGTGAAGTTGGCGCCGTTTTTTTCGAAAAACTCATTTTTTTTTAGTTCTGAGTAGATTTGATAGAGTTCTAGAGTTCCTGACTGAAATTTTGAATAGTTCCAGCAAATCGTAGGTGTCATTGGAAAAAATAAATTTTGAGCGCTAACTTCACGCAGCGCTGTTTTTTTCGAGAAAATTAGTTCTGATATATTTTTTTGTTGTATTATAAAGAGTTCTGGTGTTCTACATCTATTTCATCAATAGTTCTGGTGAACTAAGGAAATTATCGAATAATTTAAGGAAATTAAATACGAAAATGTGTTTCTATAGCCAGCATTTCTTCTGTTTTGTATTGAAGAAAAAGCTATCGAGGAAAAAGGAGAAGGATCATTAGGAAATGTGAAATCTGAAAAAACGAAGAAAAAAATCAGCTGTCATAAGGTGAAAAATTTATTCCAAAGAACAGGACAGTTCTGATGAGTTCTGAGTAGCCCTCGACGAGTTCTTCAAAATATTCAAATGGTGTTTTAGTGACAAATCGATACTTTTTCTTTTATCAGCTGTCATAAGGTGCACATCTTAAAAAACTAACATTTTCGATAAAAAATCAGTACTCAGGATCTCAGGAACAGAATAGTTCTGATGGGATTTCTGAGTAGCGCTCGACGAGTTCTTCAAAATATTCTCATTCTGTTTTAGTGACCAATCGATACTTCTTCATTCATCAGCTGTCATAAGGTGCTGACCTCAAAAAACTAGCATTTTCGATAAAAAATTCATTCCGTAAAACAGAACATTTCTGATGGGAGTTCTGAGTAGCGCTCAAAATTTATTTTTTCCAATGACACCTACGATTTGCTGGAACTATTCAAAATTTCAGTCAGGAACTCTAGAACCCTATCAAATCTACTCAGAACTAAAAAAAAAATTGAGTTTTTCGAAAAAAACGGCGCCAACTTCACATGAGTAATAATTTCATACCAGATATGAATCTGTCTGATTATTCATGTTATTCCATTGTAAACGTTGATTATATTCATATTTATATGAGATGCAATGTACACAGTAAAAAAAATAGAGTGAAATTCAACACTATACCTGTTCCCCTTTAGAGTGAATGATTTAACTCTATAGTTTAGTATATTATAGTGTGATTTTTTCAATTCAATTAGTGTAAATTTTCAATGCAAGCACATTGAAACTTACTCTATTTATTTCTCTAAATATATTGAATAAAGACAGAAATAGAGTTGAAAGAAACAATTACGAGAGTGAATATTCCACTCAAGACCCAAGCTAGTGTCAATATCATCACTGTAGAGTGACATTCAATAACCGAGAGTTTAGAGTTGTAATACATTAGTAGAGAGTAGATTCCACACTATGAACAGTGTCGGATCCACCGGAAATTGATCGAATTATTCACTCTACGTGGATGCCAAATTGCTCCTGCATTGTTCAAATTAACACTACTATATTTGTTCAGGTGCTAATAAGGAGCTATCATTTATTCATCATTTTAGATTGATATAGTACACTAGTTGAGTAAACTAGTCACTACTTCCTGTTGAGATTTCATCCAAGTTAAATTAACCATTCTTCCACATGTCACAGTATTTATAGGCCCCCGACAGACGTTCAGCGGCGAAGTCTCCGCAGCGCCACCTTTATGCAGTGGCGAGAATTGACGGATGAGAAGTAGTGTGACTTTATAATATTTCAATCGTTTGATATTTGAAAAATGACTCTAGTCCTACTAGACTAATTAGTTAACCTATATCTGTTTCATAAATCGTTCGAAATAATAATTCGAACCGGAAAAGACGGAAAATAACTGAGATAGGTATACGGAAATACGTTCATAACTCAATGTTGAAAAAAATTTCTCACTACGCGGGTATATTAAAAAAGCTACTTGAAGCTAATATCATGATCATTATATCTTCTATAATCTGTATTACTTATTTCACTATCTAGTAGACTGAACGATCTGAAACTATATAGATTGATATTTCATCGTATATAGATTGAATTGAACAATGATAGAGTGTCAATTCAATCGACAATAGAGGAATATTCAAGTTCACTAGTGTCAGTAAACACTAGTATGAATTTAATTTCAATTGTTTGTGTGTTGAGTTATCTGAATTGATATTTTATTGAAATTTCAGGAATATAGAGTGAATTCAATACGAGAATAGTGAAAATTCAATCTAGAATTAGTTTCGAAGGAGATAATCTGCGAGAAGTGTAGTAATAGAGTTGATTGCAGTATTAGAGTGAGTTTGTCAGAGTATTTCAACTCTAAAAACATACTCTACGGACTTCACTTGAAGCGGTTTTTTACTGTGTAATGTTTATAGCAAAGAATGAAATAAACATAAGGACAAACCGACATAACAGGACGATAACAACATAACAATTTCAAAGAAACCTCATTTCTCTTCATTTTACCTTTCACATTCAACTTAGTAGCTAATAAATTAACAGAAAAAAAAGGAGAATTACATTTTTTCTTACCTTGCGGCTGGGGGTGGGTCGCCCCCTGAGCCGCCGCCGCGACCTTGCTGTGGGCCGTCGTGGTGGTGGTGGAGGATGCCGCTGCGGAGGTGGAGGCGGTGATGGTGGTGGTGGTGGTGGGGGGGTCGGGAGGAACGACGACGCCGCCGCCGCCGCTTGACTCGCCGCCAGCGGCGCACCTATTACCATTTGCCTCGAAGGAGGGGGACCAAGTCTTGCGCTGGAAACGCAGTTGCGAAAAATCACGATTTTTAAAGAGAAAATTGAAAAATTATTTTAAAAAAAAGTGTCCCGAAATTGCTGGGACACAGAGCTACCACGTATACAGTGTGTTCCACTTACCATGCTCACCATGGGTATCTTTTTAACGGTGAGAGATACGAGGTCGGTTAAATGACACCAAATGTGGAGTTTGTCAAGGCCAACTATAATGTGGAAAAATATTTTGATAAAATTTATTCGTTTTTGTTTTATACGCAAAAAACAGATTTTGATAATTTTCATGTCTCTTCCGTAACTTCTTTATTTATGAAAATATTCAAATAGGAATTTCACATTCTCATGGCAGTTTTTCAAAGTGATTTCGAAAAAAATATGAAATTTATACCAACTCTTCTAGAATTTGAGATATCAGCACCAACTTTAGTTTTTCAAATGTAGGTCATAGCTCACTATGACTAGTTACAAATAACTTTTTTTTCTCTTACAGATGATATGTCGCAGTAATAGTTTTGTGTTGATAACAACGGAGTTATCGTCATTTATACAAAAACAAAAAATTATTTGGGAGCCACCATCTTGAATTTATTAATTTTAACAAAGAAATCATGATCTCCGACCTCAAAAACCCCCACTTACCAATTTTGAATGGAATCGGACCAAATCTTGTCCGCCATCAATAAAAAAAAATGGCTGCTCCAAGATGGCGGACAAGATTCGGTCCGATTCCATTCAAAATTGGTAAGTGGGGGTTTTCGAGGTCGGAGATCATGATTTTTTTGTTAAAATTTATAAATTCAAGATGGTGGCTTCCAAATCATAACTCCGTTGTTATCAACACAAACCTATTACTGCGACATATCATCTGTAAGAGAAAAAAAAGTTATTTGTAACTAAGTCATAGTGAGCTATGACCTACATTTCAAAAACTAAAGTTGGTGCTGATATCTCAAATTCTAGAAGAGTTGGTATAAATATCATATTCTTTTCGAAATCACTTTGAAAAACTGCCATGAGAATGTGAAATTCCTATTTGAATATTTTCATAAATAAAGAAGTTACGGAGGAGACATGAAAATGCGTATAAAACAAAAACGAATAGATTTTATCAAAATATTTTTTCACATTATAGTTGGCCTTGACAAACTCCACATTTGGTGTCATTTAACCGACCTCGTATCTCTCACCGTTAAAAAGATACCCATGGTGAGCATGGTAAGTGGGACACACTGTAGAAGAGGTCAAAATAAGTTGATTGGACCCAATTTATTTATGTGCCAAAATGTCCAGTTTGTTCGTGAGAAGGGTTCAAAGTTCAAAAAAAAATAGATATTTATTATACAAGGGAAAAAAGTAATAGATTTTAGCTCCAGGTTGTGTTGTCTCTCGACGCGTAGCGGAGGGAGACAAAAAACCGTGAGCTAAAATCAAATATTTTTCCCGTGTATAATACACTATTTTTTCTGTGAGAGAAGAAAGGACGAATCAATATTGAGAAGATATTACATTATTTTGAAATCTGAAAATTATCGACGTGAAATTTCAAGTTTTCAACAGTAGGGACATCTGCGTTGTAGGCATCTTTATCATTCTTTTGAAGTAATCAAATATCTGATGTCACTTCTGTCAGTCTAATTCTGTGATTTGATTTAAAAAAATTGCGAATTTAGTGGTTGTTTAGTAATATACGTAACCGCGAAGTCGAATAGAAGATAAAAGGACTTGCAGTTCTTTCTCGGAGACAGTATTATTGACTCATTTGAATTTGAATTTGATGAAATTTGAAAATAGTGTATTTCTGAGGATTACTTTCCTTTTGGTAATGGAAGAAATCTAAAAGAAATTGTAGAAGGGTTAAAACCACCCTCACCCCCTGAAATTTTTTGCAGAACTTTTTTAGGGGTCATAATACGGTTATGAAATTTTTTGAGCTTGAAGACTAATCAATTACCTCAATTTTATTGCTCTTGTACAAATTTCCTATACCGCATAGCTTCGAAGAAAAAAAAATGTTCTCTCAAATAATGCTACCAGATAGTTCAATCAAACTGTGATATAAAACTTAGTTGGCAGTGGAAACGAAGGCAAGTCGTGATTTCGACAGGAAACAAATTTGTCATTACCACGGGAACTTATACCCCTTGGCTGAAGCCTCGGTATATAATCTTAGTCCCTGGGTAATAATGACATTCTTTACTACGCAAGGTTTATATATTTTTCTTTTCGCCACTGGCAATATGAACTGGTCAACATTGATAACCTCGTAGTCCAAAATATGGCCTGAATTCAAAGTTGAATCTCACGAATTTCCTTACCAATTTGAAATCGGTTTTCACCAATGATTAGCCTAATCTCTTGACAGTTTTTGGTGGCAATATGAAACGTCTGTGATTTCAGGTAACATTGCTACAAGGTGATAATTGAATGGGTGTGAATTTGCACCGCGGTCGTCACCTTACCATTCGAACGGATAATTTTAATAATAATAACAAGTATCCATGAGAATACAATTCAGTTCTTATGACTTCTGACATTCAATTAAAGATGAAAGAAATGTTCTTTCATTATCAAGAAGAATATCTGGTCGAATCTATGGAAATTCTGAATTAGTCTTCATATTAACCTGTATTTTTATTTTATTTTCGTCAATGACCGACACTCTGTTTCTTACTCAGAACACAGCAATTTGAATCACGTAAAAAATCAGGACATAATTTTATCGCTCCACGTATATCCATCATCAAGAATAAAAATAAATTTTATATTTCTGGAACTTCTATCTTGATTTATTCAATTCTCTCATTTATCATACCGAAATGCATCATATTGATAAAAAATGCGTACTTACCTTCATTTATGATCTTCGATCCGAAAAATTACAAAGCCGTTTCGAGGCCAGACAACAAACTTCATCATAACGGAGTAACACTTCCTTTTTTCAATAGTGACACAGAGAAAATCATGTTTTACCTATTGAGGACTACTGTAACAACTCATTATCATAAGCCACCCTGTATAAATTCCGCTCTGCCTGTCGAACCCTTTTTTGCTCCTTTTTCGCGGAAACGACCAGCGAGTGAATAAACAAAGTAATAGTTATTTATTATACAAGGGAAAAAAGTAGTAGATTTTAGCTCCAGGTTCAATTTCTGAAAATGAGCCATTACGGAAACAGAATGAGTACGCCACTGTATTATGCGTAAAAAGTGATACAAGGTCCCGTTCCCACCTTGCCAATAAGTTGGATACTAACCAAGATACGGAAGGTGCTCAAAAAGTGAGAATTTTTAATTTCGCCCTGTATTTCAAGAACATGAAGAGCTGTGACAATGGGCGTGTACACCTTGGTAAAACTTTTAACTCAAACCATGTTTATAATGATCCTTTCATACATAAATAATGATTGACGACATAATTCGATCGAAAAATTTACTGGAATGTTCAATTTTTGGACATAAATAATAGTACCATCTGAAAACGGCCCCTCTTATGACGTAGAAACCTCATCTCGCCATAGTTAAAAGAAAATACCTAAGGCCGGACGGAGACTGAGGCAACTGATATATTAATTCTTTCAACTGTGATCTGGCGCTGATTCACTCTGCCAGAAATCATGTATCATTTATCTCTGTCTGGAATAGACCTGTTTCAGTATTAGGGTTTTGACGTCATATCATAGCCTCGTTTTCAGAGGTCCGAAAAATCGGGGATTTCAATAATTTTTTATAAAACGTAGAGAGCTCACAGCGATAAACGGTTTGCGGTGGTGAGCTAGTTTGGTTGAGTTCTATCGAATTATGGAATAAAATTTTTTTGTGATATAAGCCCATTCTGTTTGCGACATTGTCCGTTTCACAAAAAAAGTAAGACAGTAATGTGAAAACCGCAACTCTCTATCTCCAAAGACAACTGAGATATCGCACAGAAGCATCGAAAACTGGACACACTGTACAGTGCATCCCATTTTGGGTGAGACAGCCAGGTTTCTCGCTTGTTATTTGAGATAGAGCCTTGCGGTTTTCACGTTCCTGTCCTACTTTTTTGTGAAACTCAAGATGGCCTAATCAGATTTTGCATAACTGTTTCCGTTTATGAGATACAGGGCGATTTTGGAAATTTATACTTTTCGGGACCCTCCTTTATCTCCGAAGTTATTAGAAATAATGCTGAGCTGAAAACTACGTCTGCCGCGTAGAATCCAGTGACGCACTCACTTTTTTTTTTCGGGGTATGGTTTTGAATATTTTTGAGTATTTTATCACTTCATTGAATTCGTTATTTTTTTCCCTTCAAAATGATGTATGATACTATATAGGTAGGATGTTCAGAAATTCTAAAAAAACACTAAAACATCACATAATGATGATTTTTTGTTAGTGGGCCATGGATTTCCCATATAAAAGAAGAATCAATTGGATATTTTTATTTGAATTTTTTCATAGGAGAGTAAGCAAATAAAGATAATACACTCATCACTAACACGAAAAACAAAACGTTGGTACCTACCTAATAGCAACAAATAAAAAATACAAATTCATAATACAAATTAGATACAGAAGAAATACCCAATAAAATATTCTTCATGAACAAATTTTCAACATTACATAATATCTTACTGATTGAACTGTTCGAATTGTTAAAAGAACATTGGCCCACTGGTCATTTTCAATTAATGCTACAGCCCTCGCCACATCAGTAGGAGTCATATCTCTCACGTTGAAGATGAATTGTGAATCGCTTGACTTTGACAATAATTAATGACATTAACAAAATAGCCAACGTTGATTAACAAAAATAGCATTTCACCAAAAGAACATTGGAGCAACTTTTATGACCCCTGCATATTCATGAGAGTATTCGTATATGTGTCTTTAAACAGTAAACCGATAGGTAAAACTGTGAACAATTCTCATCTTGAAGTAAAAATCCTCACAGAAACAAGTTGAAAAACGACACGTTCTCCCCAGTTCGAGTTTCGAGGTGGTGAAATTAATACCAATA